ATCATCTGGCTTAGCTCTTATTACCAAGACTACATCCTCGGTATGACCTCAGCCATACTCAATTGAGTGATCAAGTAATGCACTGTTTTTTTGGGTTCGTCTGTGCCCTTGACCCCGTTTCTTATAAATTGTGACCTTGGTCCTAATGCAATATTGCAGCGAAACTTGTTAAGAACAGGTAAAGCGTGATGATAATTCCATGGTTAAGAATAGTTATTCATTAAGTGAAGTAGGCTAATATTACTCGAAACTACTTGACTTGAGACTAGGGTTACTTGGCACGTTAATGCTTGACCTGCATTGACTTTTTTTTGTCGTTCTACTTGACTTGAGGTCAAGCATTTTTAACTACTTGGTACGTGATGGCAAACTATACAAATACTCGTATTTTTGTTCTACTAATGGCCTTGAGTGTAAGGAGTCAATGCAAATAAAATAAAAAAGTTTTATTGGCAAGAGATTTCTTATCGACACCTGCAACATCAGCATTCATTGAAAGCAAATTTCCTAGAGCCGCTTTGACTACAATACCGCTAATTCAGAATGTTTAATTTTTGTGTATCAGCTGACGAAACGGTTTTTTATTTGATTTAACAGTCTCATCGTTCTTTTATTTGTTATAGGATGAACATAATACGTTGTTCAATATGTATTGTCTTCTCTTCTCTGTAACTTGTCACAAAGTACTCGTATTTCCGTTGTATATTTATATACTACTAGTGTCTATATTACCAAAATTATCAATATCAAGACTATTTGAATTTTCAAGTACTTGACGTAAAACCTACTTGACTTGATTTACATTGCTAATATCTAATAACTCACTTGAGCTTGAGTTGATTTCAAGTCAAACCAAGTACCTTGAAGATCAAGACAAGTAGTATAAACCCCTAATTATAAATACGTAACTTCAATAAAAAAAGCGGCACCTAGAAAATGTTCCGTAAATTGCTAAAATCGCAAATTTTTTCTGACACGCGTACGGTTCTGATATCAGCCTACGTATTCATACAGCTTCTCATAATACACCTGATTCAATGAACCATTTTCAAAATGATATCTTCCAGTAATGTAATTTTTTTAAAACAAAGTGATGTTTTAGTTAATATATTCTTTGGCATAGAGTAAGTTTAAGTCGATTTATAACTCTGAATTTTTGAGGAAAACTAATAAATGTACATAAAGTTCAAGCACAAAAAGCAATAGCAATCCAATACCGCATATTAGAATAGCTTTTTTCATCTTCGAATGTTTGTCCTGCCGTCGACGGTCCGACAAAATAGGTCCTAATAATACTAGCTAGTAGCACAAAGATGTCTCGGAGCACTCTAATCCGTTTTAACGAAAATAATGAACCTGCTCATATTTGTGTATGTTAACGGTGCTTCGCAGCTTCTGGAAAGTGTTCCAGTTGCTCCTAGATTCGCTAACCAAAACTATGTGCATTCTTACTCCTTCGGTAATCGGTATTCTGCAAAAAAATTAGAAGCTTTCGGTCTTCGGCCTTGAATGTGTGACCGAAGGTAACTATACATACCAAATGTGGCTTCAATCTATTGCATAGAGTGTACCCCAAAACGTACACTCTGAAAAAGGTGCTGCCCGAGCTATCCATAGGGCAACACACTTGATTTACGTCAGTGTCAAGCGATAGTTTTTTCTGGATGCCAGATGGTTTTTGCATGAATCTGAGACCACTGTATAATTTTATAGTCAGTATTTGATGATATATGGAAGATTTTTGACAAATAAGTAGTCACTTATCTGTTAAAGCAGCAGCGTTAATAATACAGGCCATTATAAAATCATCCATATATCCTACATTTATTTGAAATTTTGAGAATTGTATACTTGAGAATATATTTTTATCTAAATTTTATATTGTATGAACATATCAGTAATATTTATGGTCCTAATATTTGCATCCCTAGTCTTCTGTAGCAACTGAATGGAAAAATTGTTGAAAACAATTTCTTTTCAAAAAAAATAATAGTTATCGTTAATTACTGCATGGTTACTAGAGTTACCAGACCTTTCATAAGAATTATATTACCTACAGGAATATCTGATCACATTTCCATATCATTAGAATTAATTAGAATGTAAAAGCTTTGTGGAAATATGATTCAAGCATGTTGACTAAATATTATCAGAATATCTAACTTTCGAATCATTATTATAAGCTTCTTTTTAAGCTACAAATATTTAAAAAAGTAACAAAACCCTTTATGTTGAAGTACATATTCAAACTTAAAACCTTTGACAATTGTCGTAAGTTTCTCTTATCAACTACAGAATACCAATATTAACAGATAAACTCCACAAATCACTCAATTTGATATGAACATACATTAGCCATGATTCTGAAACACATTAGCCATGGTCCTGAAGCACTCAATTGTCCAGATATATGCCCTGGAGAGAATAATAGTAGCAGATCTCTAAACCTTTTTTCAAGGGAAGAAGATCCTTCGTTTGTTGATAACAATAACCTAGAAGAAAATGAGTTGTGCTCTTATACAGGTTGACCAACATGTTATGTGTTATTCTCCAGATTCCAAAGTTCATCAATTCAACAAAAAATTTAGTTTGAATAAGAACGATTTAAGAAAAATCTTTACGAAAAACCTATCTTCCACGTCAACCAGCCATCCAGACACAAATACAACAGAGGTTAACTTCGGTTTTCGGCGGACTTTTAAATGTGACATCTATAAACCGTCATCATTGTCAGAGCCGCCATTTTGTGGTCTTGCAACACCGCAATGTTTTCATTCTCCCATACGAGTTGACTCCCCATGGTTTCTGTGCTCCTGTAGATATACAACAATTCCAACGTGCATTTGTCTATCTTTGATCTGCCCTTGTGAATTACCGAAAATCATTTCAGAACATTTTGAGGAATGAATTTTAATCTTGGAAATGTCAAAGCTCTTTACAACTCTCATAAATTATCAATGCCCTTCTCATTTTTAAATATGTCTTGACATTTTAATGTTCGGCATTTATAGATCATTAATATCTAATGAACCCCGGATCTGTTTGATGATCCACCGGTGGTCACATGTTCCAAGTATTTTACCCACAGGTAGGACTGAATTATGGCCACCATTATAAAATTACGAAATCAAGTCCGTGTTCTGTTATCATGGTCGTTTCATTCGAGACGGACTCGAAGTTGTCTCACCGGGGGAACTGATTCTCAACTACCCCTAAATCATCCGTTATGTATTAACTGCCCTACTTCGGAGAATAATAATTAATTTCGTTACCACGTATAAAAGGGCCATTCCCCATTCTACCGTATCAAACAGACTATAATCATACTAGGATCGTATCCAGCAGAACAGGCAGCAAAGGATCAACCACGTTCTATACCAGTATGCAACACGTATGATACCCGTTTGGTAAAAGGTCCATCTCAGGGAAGTACTGTAATCGCGCAGAACTTCAAAAATGGGATGTTATTTTTTTTGGATGCACATACATCACGAAAAACCATTGTCACTCATTCCGTCAGTCTGCTTGTCTGTTTACTAGCTCATCCTTCGCCTGTTTATAACTTTGAAAGTATTACCGCTTGGATTTTGATGGAATCTTCTCTCAATGTTAACATACTAACATGCCAAGAACGCAAAGTTTAATAGTAGTTTTTGAAAATCAGTCCAGCGGAGGCAAGCATTGAGAGAAAAAATATAAAAATAATGGCAAAAGTTCGTTTTTTGACATTTCAGAGGTTTTTGATCATTTTGAGGAAATTTTCGTAAGGGTTAAAGAAGGCAAAGTTCAGTATTAGTTTTTGAAAATCAGTGTAGTGGCAGCGAGCTTTGGGATAAAAATATTATTGCCCAAACTTAGTTTCTTGGCGTTTCAGAGGCTCCTGATCATTTTGAGAAACATTTTTGTATTTGTAGGAGTTAAAGTTTGGGTGTTGTATGGCCATTTCTCAATTTTTTGGCGTTAGTATACGTACACACTTCCAGCCCCGGTAGTTCTACACAACCATTAGGAGTATTCCACATATCGTATCGGTTTCCCCATATATTTGCTCTAAACAGAATGATAGAGTGGCTGACGAATGGTGAGGGTAGTCATAGTAACGTCGCCAGATGGTCGGTACTGTCGCTAGGTCATGGGATAAACTTCTAGATCGCACCGTTGTCAAATGGTTTGAGAATATGGACTAATTATATAGGTCTGTTTGGCTGACTTGATCCATTTATTATTATTTGTAATACATGTTTGTAGTTCACTTTTTTCTCGGAGGACTAACTTGTGCCGAACATAATCATTTACGATCTGATCAAAGCGTTTCGTTTGAAGTGCAGAGTCAACAGTTTACGCCATTCTTTATGTTATCATAATGTCAGGAAAGTTATTCTGAAAGATTTGGATAATCTAGCTCCAGTTTGCCCTTTTGCTTGTCCTATGGAATCCTTGTCAAAACATAGACTTAGAAACCGCTGCACCAAGAGTCTGATGAAGTTTGATATATTCTTCGTTTTCGGTATCCGAGTATAACAAGAAACAAAAAAAAATGGCATCAATTAGGTTGACTCTGCACTTTCCACGCAATGCTGTCATCAGTTCATAACGAACAAAGTTGGGGTAGTTACAAACATGTATAACGGAAAATTGAATCGATCAGGTCAGCCAAACAGGCCCATACAATTAGTACATACTCGATAGTACCTAACCATTTGATGATACTAACGTTAGTTTCTTCACTGCTCTAAGTATCGACCATCTGGCAACCGTGCTGAACCACACCAGTCAACCAAGTCATAAGCGCCAGCCACGTTACTATAACTTTATGTTAAAGGAAAGTGTACGGGGAAATCTATGATGTGTGAATTATGTACTGCTGACCTCTGAGGTCATTATCTTGGACATGGTACGGTAACCAACTTTTTGGGTGCTCGAATATTTAGTAGACTTATAAGCCTTGTCCTACTTTTTCATAGAGTATTGAATATAATTTACCCCATCTATTATTTCAGATTGTTTCTTTGCTGATGAGCGTCAACGCAGCATTTTCAAACATAGTGAGTGACATAGACGCCAAAGATGCAATTAGAAATACTGCGGACCAACCTGTCTTCACCAACAATATCCAGAGGTTCGACCGAAATACAGAAAGCAGTACCAGTAGAGGGGGAGAAGTGAAGGCTTTGAAGAAGGTCTTTCTGTCTAACAGATCGATCACGTGCAATGACGGCTCACAGGCTGGGTAGGTTGTGTAAAGTATTATATTTTACAGCATGATTAAAAAGACAATGGTAGTAGTGCTGAATTACATCCAAAAACAGCATAAAAGAATCTTATATACATACAGGGTGAGTTTTAGCGTGTAATAAGTGGCTCCGTTATCATCAATGACATCAAAAAAAGAACCATAGGTATATGTACGCTTGTTGCTTGAAAAATATGCCGCTCTTTACAGGGCGCTACATGTTTGGGGGGTTTACTCACTAGACTTTTGAGTTATTCGCAGTTTCCTAAAAACTAGAACTCAAAATAATCAACTACCACAATATTCATATGGTGTTAATTTGTCTTGAAATGTGATATCTGGAATACTGCAAAAAGTTTAACAATTTAATCCTAAAATTCTGTATCACAATAATCTTAGAGAAAAAATGCGTCGTTGAATTTGAATGGCGAGAAACTATGAGCCCTACAACCTTCTTCTCTTAAAGAGACCTCATAATATACTAAAATATATACAGGATCTTCACCATTTGAATCTAGGAAACTGTAAGGGATACGAAGTCACTTAAATGAGGGCAACAAAATGTCGCTTAGAAAGCTTCGAAATTCAAAGTACTTCCGGACAGAGACGGAAAAAACCGTCGTCAGTCGTTCCTACAATTGTAGGACGCTTTGATGGCCTCCTTGATTTTCATAGTTTTCTACTGTTCCGTGTCAACGCTCTATTTTGAGGTTGTCTTACAAATGTCTATTTGCATCAAATTTTTCATGCCTTTGATCTATATAATCTGTTTTATCAGCTTGAAAATTCCTGCAATTCAAAAAGAAAACATAACTTCACGCTAAATCTAGAAATACCCCGGCCTGTCTGAAAGATAAAAAATACTATGAAAATCAAGGAAGCCATAAAGGCGTCCTACAACTGTAGGAGCGACTTGAAATTATCATATTTCATTTGTTTTGTTTACGAGACCAGACCCCGATTTGAACGTGACAACGTAGTTTGGAAGACTGAGAGGAAGAGAAATAAATCGAGCACTGAAAAATGTACAGAGAAGTCAGCTTTGCCTACAAAATAACGCACAACATTTTGAACATCTGCTATGATTTACCTCTGCTTATTTATCATTATTATTATTGCTATTGCCATCAATAAAATTTGGAATTTGTGTTCAGGTTCCACCATACCTTTTTATTTCCTTCCAATTTTCATCCAATAACACATCTATAGCCAGTTAAGGAAATACATTATTTAAATGTAGAAATTTCCAAAAGTATATGAAAAATCAGAGTTGATGATGGAAGTCGAAAGAAGAACTGTCGAATTGAAAATTTGACTACACCATCTTGTAGAAGAGAATAAGTAACAGTGACAACATGCAATTTATTTTGAAATCGGACTACAAATAAAGTCAGGCGAAAATTAAAACGATTTTGGTAAAATTCGGGTTTTTCCGGTTCTCCTCGGCAGTACTTCGAATTCCAAAACCTTCTAAGCGGCATTTTGTTAATTACCTAAATACGCAAATATATCCTCATTTAACTTCGTATCTCCTACAGTTTTCGATATCCCAATGGTGAGGGTCGAATTTGAAACACCCTGTATACAGGGTAATCCATCTTATGAATTTGTGTTGCAATTACGGAATACGAATGACTAATGAGCGTATATTTGCTCATAATTTTTAAAATAACGTTGGAACTAAGGAGCTAGTGACCGATTACACACTAAGAACTCAACCTCTATGTCCGGTACCAATATATTTGGTGTTTTTATTCTATTGATCAGCCATATTAAGGACAAAATGAGTATTTTCCAGATAATGCAGATAACTGATATGTCTAGTATATACAATTTTTGATGTTAAGCTTCATTAACTTCAGTATATTTTCAAAGTAGAACGAGTTTCAGTTTTTTATATAAATCATGTCCCAAATATTCAAACCAATTTTTCTACAAATTGAATGACCGACAAACATTTCTCATGAGGGACAATCTATGTGACATTAAATACTTTATCTAAAAATAATATAATAGGCGTTTCATAAAAGTCAATTGTGTAAAAAATATTTTCCATTCTCTTTCGTTCTGTAGGGGTGAAAGCATCCCAGTTTTTATGCCAGTGAGGTAGTTAGAGCCGAAAAACATTTCTTCGTATTGCTTATGTTGTTAATAAGTATGTATATGTACATAATTTTAAATCGACCTCTCTCTTTAATTTCAGATTTTATCTGAGAAAATCACACTCTAGCAAGATGTGGATAATTTTTTTAGAAGGTGGATGGTATTGCTTCGACCACCATAGCTGTAGAAATAGATGGTTAAAGCAACGGCACTATATGACGTCATCACATTGGCCTGATACCAGAGACGGTAAGCCACTTTTAGTGTTGAATATTATCATATCGTTCATATAAGCTTCACATATAAAACTTGCAAATTTTCCGAATACTACGTCCGATTTATGTGATCGTAGGACATCTTAGACGCAACTTGCGTCTATCATCTAACTCTTTCTTATGAATTTTGAGACGTAGTTAAATTTGTCTCTAAACAGGTCTATTTTCTCCAAACCAGCTTTAATTGTAGCCATTACCAAATGACAATATGTTCGAAATAAGGATTTAAGGTCATGGAAAATCAGGTAGTAAATGATGAACTTTTGGCGCCGAGTAAGCTTACTCTGTACATTACATGTAGTTGAAGATACCTTTTGAACAATTATTTAGTTTTGTAAAACCAAATAATAATTATGGAAGAAGATTATGGAAATTAATCAGCCAGCAACAAAGTTTTCACTATATTTTTAATTTAAGTACCAAAGACCATGTTTGAACAAAATATTTATAGGCTCCAATGAGTGACGCAAAATAAGGAATCAATCAGTACCGATAAATTATCTATCTACTCGTACGCTTATGCATTGGAACACATCCAATGTAGAATTGAGAATACTGGATACTCTTATGCAGATATACATGTATATTAAATAGAAGCTTATGTGTGTTTGTACGAAACTTGCCAACTATCGTAATTATAGTAACTTTATACAAACTGCCTAAATAATATCTCGCTGAGAACACAGCATGGGATTATATGTTTTTATTTATTTGTTGTCTTGGAAGCCTGCCGTAATAACTGCTAATTATTTCGATGTAGAAAGTAAGTTATATGAAGAACTCTTCATCTGAACCCATTAAGCGGATTTAAAAACTGTGAGGTATATTTGAGGTGGGAATAGAGTTAAGCTGCGTTGCTTAGAACAGGAAGGCACTTTTCAACTACTAGCATAATCACTTCTTACAAATCTCAGATAAGACTACGAAATTGGGTGATTCTTTTATGGTGGTTTGTTGCACTTAAATTGTCTGTGGTTGCCTCCTCATTTACTAGTAGAAAAAAATTCTGTTAACGTATGCAGTGACATTTATCCGCCAGTGAGATATGGAAATAAATTCCCACGTCTATTGGGGAGGGGGGGGGGGGGGTTAATTCTGGTATTCGCAAAAATTTTAGAAAATGAGATTTGTTTGTGTGTCGATCCGTCAGTCGGTCTGTCTGTCCGTCGGTCTTTCAAACTTCAAGCATATTATCAGAATGTTAGGGGCTTGAATTCGAAAATTGATGATTTATTTTCATCGGCAACCTTAAATGAATATCATCTAATTGGTTTAACAGAAACTTGGCTGTCCGACAAAGTACGTGACTCTGAAATCTTTCCTGGAAACTACAGTGTGTTTCGTAGTGACCGTGATTTTGTAAGAACAAATAAATTGTCTGGTGGGGGTGTATTGTTGGCATGTAAAACTAGTTCTCTGGCAGAGCATGTTTTTTTAGATTTTTCTACTGATTATCCTTCCATTGACATAGTTGCGATTAAGTGCAAGCTACCACTCACTCTGTTTGTTTATGTTATTTATATTCCACCAGACACTTCTAATGACACTTACGAAAGTTTTTTGTCACACATGAGTACGTTAATAATCAATCAGCCCAACGTTTTGATACTGGGCGATTTTAATGCCCCCGGTTTCGTATTTAGTCTCCATGCAGATTTTCGTTATACAACGCTATCAAATTTTTTAGATCTTACCAACACCATCCAATCTAACCTGATATTAAATGCGCTGGGGCGATTACTGGATTTAGTCATAAGCACTGAAAGTGTACCATGTATTATTTCACGGGAAGTTATTTCTATTGTAAATCAAGTAGATCCTCACCATCCACCTTTAAGTATCCTATTTACCATACAGCTGTCTAGTAGGTCTAACTTGTCCCCAAATACTGAACCTACATCATTGATGTATAACTTCAAGAAGGCGTCCTATGTTGGCTTATATAATGCTTTGAGTTATATTGACTGGTCCTTTTTACGTAAAATTACTGATGTTAATGAACTATGCGATACATTTTATGTTAAAATTTTTTCAATATTTGATATTTATGTTCCTAAATATACCAACACCTGCAAATTCAGGTATCCTCCTTGGTATACTGGAGAAATTATAAGTAACATAAATTTGAAGGATTATTACTACAGAAAATATAAGAGAACACGCAATGTTTACCATTACAATGAATTTTCTAGATTGCGCAGAATCATAAAGGGGCGAGTTAGAGTTGCTTACAGTGAGTACTTGTCGTCGGTTGAGGACAGTATAATCAACGACCCGAAGAAGTTCTGGTCATACATTCGGAATAAGAGAGACTGTAGCAGAATACCAGGCCAAGTCCAGTTCAACGGCAACGTATTCAGTACTCCACAAGGTGTTATTGATGCATTTGCCGACTATTTTAAGAGTGTGTATGTTACTCCTCGAAATATTCCCTCTTCTTTAGTTAGTGTCACTTCAACATCATGTATTTATCTAGAGGAATTAACGGAAGCTGATGTACTGAAGTCTCTCTCTAAGCTTCAAAATAAACTTACGTCTGGTAGTGATCAAATACCTAGTTTTATTATTAAAGATTGTGCTCATGTTTTCGTCAAGCCGATGCTGATAATTTTCAATGCTATATTAAAGAGTGGAATTTTTCCTGATGTTTGGAAGATAGCTAAGGTGTGTCCGGTCCTGAAAGATGGTGATAAATCTGATGTACTCAACTATAGAGCTATAAGCATTTTGAACAACTTTGCAAAGGCTTTTGAAATGGCCATTTACTCTTTTATCTTCGTGAACGTTAAAAGCCTAATTACTCCATCACAACATGGTTTCATCAAAGGTAGATCCACTACGTCAAATTTAATGACAATTACGCAGTATATAGCAGAATCGTTAGACAAGAAACAACAAGTCGATGTTATTTACATGGATTTCAGCAAGGCTTTCGATAAATTAAACCATCATCTTCTTGTGGATAGCCTTCATTATTTCGGCCTTAGTGACTCGTTAGTCGGTCTTTTAAGCTCATATCTTTCTAATAGGACGCAATATGTTTACTATAATGGTTATTCTTCAGCAAATTATACTGTTCCCTCTGGAGTACCGCAAGGTTCAAACCTAGGTCCCTTGCTGTTTTTATTCTTCATAAATAGCCTAGTCGCTTCACTAAAGTGTGAATGTCTACTATTTGCTGATGATCTGAAAATCTACACCAAAATTACAAATTTGGAGAGCTGTATTTCCCTTCAGGACGATCTGCATAGCATCAGACAGTGGTGCGACAATAATATTCTCTTCTTAAATATTTCCAAATGTAAAGTATGTTCATATTGTCGTAAAATGAACCCGATTATGTTTGATTACTCCATAAATAATGCGGTTTTGGAGAGAACAACAGAGACTAAAGATCTTGGTGTAACATTTTCCTGTAGATTGGACTTTTCTGTCCATATAGCACGCGTCACTTCCGAAGCGACACGGATTCTGGGTTTCATAATGCGCAACTGCCGATCTTTTTCCAACGAAGCGGCACTAAAAGCTCTTTTTATTTCACTGGTGCGACCAAAACTTGAGTATGCCTGTTTGATATGGAACCCTTTCTATGCGTATTATATAAGCATCTTAGAAAATGTGCAGAGGAAATTTCTTAAATTCTGTGTTTATAAAATCGATGGCACATATCCAGAAAGGGGGGTCTCTCAATTTGTTCTGCTGCGTCGTTTTGAACTAGAGTCTCTACAGTTAAGACGTTCCACTGCTGGCCTATCATTCCTTCATAAGCTTTTGCACGACAGAGTGGATGCACCAGAACTTCTCCAGAGGTTAAATTTCTATATTCCTCGGTTAAATACGAGAAGAACTCTAACTTTCTACTGCAGTACCTCCCGTACAAATGTATTATTTTATTCTCCGCTACATTCTATATGCAACAATTATAATTCCATAGCAGACAGTTCTGACATTTATTTTGATTGTATCAGTAAGATCGTGTCGAATTTCAGGTACTATTATAATAGCTAGTTCTATTTTTTTAAATTAGTTTTAGGTATACATTACATGTATGAATTATAAGTAAAGTTACAATGATATTGTCCTTTAATTGGAATAGTTCTGTTGGGCAATAATGTATAAATAAATAAATAAATAAATAAATAAATAAATAAAAGGCCCAAAAACTAAAACAAAATATCGCTGAAGCTTCTTTCTTTGACGTTTCAGAGGATTCTGATCATTTTTGAAAAAAAAAAATTGGAGGAAAAAAATTTGGTGGTGGGCGTTGTAGGGGGGTGGGGACGGTATATCTCAATTTTTTGATGTTGGTATATCGATCCCAACCGTGACAATTCTGTGCACCTATTAGACATATTATATTTCTCCGTACATTAGCCTTTAAAAACATTCTATGCAGACGTATCGTGTACCTAGCAGCTGCGTCTGCTGTTCCTCCAAGCCACGTAAAAAACCTATATAATGTAACAAAATAGAAACGAGAAAATGTCAACTTGCTGACTAGATAGCGCCTAGCGCGCAAATAGTTTATTTAGCTATTTCTCGATGTAAGCACTGAGAGCGCCTCCCATAGGGTTATTTATGTATTATCCTTTCTGAAGGTTATATCTAAGGTCTTATTTTAAAAATAAATATATGCGCGTACCTTCAAAGCCACATCACAGAAAAATTAGTGGTGAAGCATCACACACAAAACATTTTCGCAGTGCCACACATCCAGTGATAGGCCTTTACGTGTATACATTAATAATTGTCTACGTCTCGATGTATACAATGCGTATACAATGAATACAAAGTATACAATGATGAAGACAACGTGTAGAATAGCATGAGTGAGGTTAGGTCTATTCGCAAACGTCAGCAAGTTGGTAACCAATGAACCGACAACTTAAAAATAAAAAAAATATGGTTGGACGCTCCAAGAACAAAGAAATCGATGAACTAGGGTTTATTTGTTGTTCTTAATTTATTTAAAACTGTAACATATACGTATATAAATAAATATTATATATTTTTTCATTGTTTATAAACTGCTTCCACAGTCAAAACAATAATGCAATGTTGCGGAATTTGTATCTATCCTGAACTTTCAGTTCCACCTAAAATCGGAGAACCATTAGGATCGATCTGGAATTCATCCCAAACAGATTCGATAGAAATGTGTATTTTAACGTAGAAAACAAGTCGTTGCAGCAAGTTACAGTTGTGTTCTGTGGCCTTCATCACTGTTGTGCCAGGCAACGTGGTGTGTGGCGCACTCTTTCTACACAAGTGGTGCCCGCTTGTCCCCCTCTCTTTCCTCCTCGTACACATGGAAATCTAAAAGGGAAAGGGACTTTCGCCAGCACTATATGCAAGTAGTTGAACTATAATTTGCTATTGTATACATTATATACATTTTATACATTGTATACGTGAATATCAAGACGTATATTCACCATTGTATACGCGTATACCATGGTGTATAGGTACAATGCGCCCATCACTGCTCACATCTAGACGCTGATTTGTATTTTCTACTTGACATCGCTTAATAAAATTCTATAAAACTTAAATCACTGGAAATAAAAATAATGTAAAAGGTAATAAACCCTTTCACGTTTCATAAATATAGTACTCCTGCCTGTAGTCTATGTTCTCACCTGTTGGTTATAATATATTTCAGCAAACAAGGATTTTCTTCAGTAGTGTAAGTGTATTTGAGACAAGGAACTAATGGAATTTTCATCAACGAAGATCAATAGCACACAAATCCTCACTATGCATCACAGCTATGCACATATGCACTGCCGTTTCTTTCCAGCACACAACTTATAGCTTAGACCTCAAATAATGTCATCTCTGAAGCAGATGTTACATCACATCAGGGTCCAACTATGATAGCTCTAGCGTCATGACGTTTAGGCAACACGTACAGCTACACGAAAGCACAAAAATACCCCAGGTTTGCGAAATAGTTATAAAGTCTAGGTTTTATTGCTACAAGTTCTTCAAGGGGGTATGTATTCAAAACCTGGATGCATAAAATTAGTACACCAATTTTTGTGAGAAAACTTTTTATTCGACAGCAAAGAATGAGAAAACGTGTTTTTTGGGAATCAATCCAAAGTGTTGGCAGGAACGAAAAAACTCTTTATATAAGATTTTTAGATATTTATGAGACCTACAAAATAGTGTGGTCTTATTTTAATCCGACTAATACCAAAAAAGTTATGGCCGAAAACCGAGGCAAACTGCAGGTTTCGGCACTTGTTGGTAATGCGACGACGGTTTCTCGCAGATATTTGAAATTCTTCAAATTCGTAGTATCCGTAATTCTAAATAACCACAACAAAATTGGAGTAGATTGGTCAAGTAGTTTTTGAGAATTTCTAATTGTTTATCCCAAAACACCTGTTTTCCGGCCGTCACTACTACTTTATTGAGCAATATACAGGGTTAGTTCAAAGAGCATTTTATAGAAAAATACACTAGTTTACCTCGCCGATATGAATCGCAAACCAGTCCGGAAAATAAAAGTTATTTTTATGCAAAAAAGGATGGGTTACGTTTTTCTTCTAAACGAATTGAAACATTTCGTATTTGTGAGTAATTCGCAACAAAAGATGATAGACACATCCGCTTTGTTTCAAAATGTGTATAGTAACGTATGCTTTTCGAATATCGTAGGGCATTTGTTCAATTACTCACAAATACGAAACCTTTGTTTTTCATCTTTCAGAATGGTTTGTGGTTCATATCGGCAATTTAAACACGTGTATTTTGCTATTAAATGCTCTTTGAACGAACCATGTATATTGCTCAATAAACTAGTAGTGATGGCCGGAAAACAGGGGTTTTGGGATAAACAATTAGATATTCTCAAAAAACTACTTGGACCAATACAATGCAATTTTGTTGTTGTTATTTAGAAGAATGAATCCTACAAATTTGACGAATTTCAAGTAGCTGCGTGAAATTATCATCGAATTACCAAGTGCAAAAACCTGCATTTTGCCTCATTTTTCGTTTGCTATTAGCCGGATATTTTTGCGTGTAGTTTCATTTTGTAAATACCTAAACATCTTATATAAAAAAGTTTTTTTGTTCCTGTCAACACTTTCGGTTGAATCCCAAAAACACGTTTTCTCTTTCTTTGTTGTCAAATAAAAAGTTTTTTCACCAAAATTGGTGCACACATTTTATGCGTCTATGTTTTGAATACCGCCTTGGACAACTTGCACCAATAAAACCAGACTTTACAATTATCTCGGAGATATTTGCTAATATGATTAGATTATAGTTCTATGTTGATATCTTATAGGAAATCCCAATGTCACAAAAAACCTATATAATATAAAGAACAGTCAATATTCAAGGTACGTGATACCCCTGCAGGTTAGCTATCGGGGAGAGGCGACGTTGCCAGATCACTACCGGTGGGGCAGAGAAAAAAATCTCTATGAGCTAACAGTATGGATCTGTTGGACTAACTTTTTTCTCAGATGGTCTAGTTTGTGCTGAACTGTTAACGGGATTGCGTGGAAAGTGCAGAGTCGACCCACTTGACGCCATTTTGTTGCTAGTGAGTGGTAAAATATGATGTTTTCGACTGATATAAATCAAATAAAAAATATGTTTTTGAATTATGAACTGCCCTTAGTAAAACTAGGGGAAGACTCTTCTGGCAAGTCGGTACAAATCCTCGACATCATATGTAAAAATGTAAACTATCATACCAGTTTTCCAAGTACCTTAACCGAATTAAAACGAGACGAGAGCTCAGGTGAGTCGGTTTGCGCACCGCTAGCCACATTATCGACCACTTTTCGATACATATACATTTGAGACACAGATCATTCTCATTATAATCAATTAATTGTCCTTGCCGGAATTTAGAAGAACCTGCATTATTTTTGTAGTTGGAGGCATGTTATCGCCACTTGCCAGCGAGAACCCTTTCTGGTACAACGCCAACCACGTGTTCGTCGCCTACTGCACCAGCGATTCCTGGAGCGGTTCCAGACCGCCTGCAGCTGGGCAACCTTTTGGATTTATGGGCAGCTTGGTGGTTGGTCAAGTAATCAGAGATCTGCTTCCACTGGGCTTAGAGAATGGGACTGAAGTGTTGTTGGCTGGGAGTAGCGCTGGAGGTAAGCCATTGTAGGATACCCTATTATAATATTCGCTTTGAGAAATAGGCGTTTCAATGTTATCAGATGAAATGGCATTTCCCACGGAACAAAGTCATCAGTTCATAAAGGACTATGTTTGGCACAAGTTAGCCCAAAAATTTGACAAAGTTACGATGTAACAATTTATCTCCTGTACTACTGACAATATCGACCGTATCGTAACGTTGCTATGACTAACCTTGTACTCGTTAGTCACAGCACCACGGCAACCAACCACCAACTACGAAACGCAAACACCATCAGTAAGACCGCGACGCAGGTATGTCCAGAGAAAAACATGTGTTGCAAATATTTCTCCATCATTCTACGTTTGAAGGCAAATATACGTACGGGGAAATCTATGATGTGTGAAACACATCTAATAGGTACGTAGAATTACCGGGAAAGCCTAAAAATATGCCAACTATTGCCAAAAAATTGCGATATATCTTCCCTCACCCTCTACAACCCCCAACAACACATTTTTAACTCCTACAAAAATTGTTCTGAAAATGATTAGGTGCCTCCACACCGTCAAAGAGGTTCTTTACAGTGGGGCGGTATCCTGATTAGGATTGACTCAAGCACAATATAAAAACCCCTGTCAGATATATTCTGAAAAGTAAAATAATTGCCTCAATTTGTTTTTTGTCATAAGTCGGACTTGGGGACTTTAGGTTTAAGAAACTGGTGCTTGGCAAGTGCGAATATACAGAAAATTGGGATCTAGATAGCCATTTACTCATCACGCAGGTTCGTTTTTTTTCGTTACATGGAAGTTCTGACATTAGGTGATTTGAATCAACCAATCATGATCAACCTATTGCTCTCAATTAAAAGTCAGAAAATTCCACTGTCCGGTTGATAAGGGATATTGGTTGAATACTGCCGTTGTAGCCTTGTACGAGTGGTACCACCCCAAGTCCCGTTCATTGGAGTTTCATTACAGACCATGTCATTTCAGGAGTAGGAGTAATGCTTAACCTGGACTTCGTCAAGGAACTGCTCCACGACGAATTGCAGATGCGTTACATTGCCGTGCGAGGAATAACGGATTCTGGTTGGTTCCTGGATAGAACACCCTACGCACCCACCAATAAGCCAACAGTAGACGCAATCAAGAAGGGCATGGAAATGTGGAGGGGGAAAGTGCCCAGGAAATGCAGAGAAGAATATCTGATGGAACCGTGGAGGTGCTACTTTGGATACAGGATATATCCCACTTTGAAAAGTGAGCTCGCAACCGTAATGTGCAATAATTGACGCAGTAGGCCCGGTTTTTCAATCACAGGTTAACTGTCATTTCACTGCCATCTACAAGTTAACACTCAAGTCGCGTTTTTCAATGTCAGCTTTGTCCGAAAACGGTAGTTAACTTATCTGCTTTTTAACTAGAAAGTTGTAGTTAAATCGCAATGTCTAACCTTTTTTGCTTGGAAATGACGTCAGCTCTCACGGATAACATGAGACACAAACTTCGAGCGACGTGAACGCACAGAACACGATAGTCCAGATGTAGAAGTAACGTTTTCACATCAACAGTTGCGGGTCGGCTAACCAGAACATGGAAATTGCATTTATCGTTAACATACAAGTTATCGTTACCAAGTTTGAAAGTTAACATACGATTGAAAAACAGTGCTTTAGTCTGATCAAAATTCTACAGAGTGACCTAAAACAAACATTCAATCTTTAGTATACAAATAATAATCTCCTACGTTCGTATGAAATAATGCTTTATGCGGCTAATTTGGATACGCTCAATGTTATGGTGGTTCAAAGACAATACTTTTGGAAAGCCTTTCCTTTAGCTGAAGAATGAAATTAGTCGTCTTTGAGAAAGACAGTCAGGAGTCCATTTCCAAAAGGTTCAACAAAAACCTTAATCCTGAAATTACTTAAAAATGTCTATCCATGATTGCCATATTTTGAAAAAGGGTTGAAAAAGTAAACATATTTGATCCAGTATTAATTACACTTGATGAAACTGTATCGAAACACAAATTTTATCGATGTCAAACAAAGTACAGTAGAACCCCGATTGTCCAAAATAATGTGGAGTGGATAATCGAAATTTCGGATAAAATGGAAATAAATATTTAGACTCATAGTGCTTTTATTGAAAAAAAGTAAATGCGTGTGTTAAGTGAGTATATACCTATATAAAGTTATGTAAAATATAAACATGTGGATACAAACATACATATTTACGAGTATTTAGTAAAAAAGTAATTTTTAAGTGTACACGTTTTACATTGTTCCTATTTTTCTTATTGTTCGACGTAAGTCCACGCCTTTTGTAGAGCTTCTAATCCCTCAGAATGTGATATTTTGGCAAACATTTCTGTCTCATTGTCACTAGCATCACTTAAAACTGTCTCATCGCTATTGTTACAAACTGTTTTTATCAGTTCTGTGTGAGTTAATTCTTCCACCTATTCATCACCATTAATCCACTCACCAATATCTGCTTGGGTAAGATTTTCACACCCTGTTATTTTTACGACGAGCTCATGTAAATTTTCGTTGTTATTCCCTTAGTCTGCGCAAGGTTCCACTTCTTGCTTAATTATTGTTGACCAAGATTTATGTAAAGTAGAATTTTTGACGTGGCTCGATGCTTCTGTTATCCAATATGTCACATTCTTGAGGTTAATCTCTTTTAAACAATCAACGAGGTTACAACCATTATAAACTTGATCTAAAATTTGCTCTAATAACAAACGTCTGTAATTGCGTTTTAAATTTTCTAAAACTCCTTGATCAATTGGCTGAATCAGTGACGTTACATTAGGAGGCAAAAACATCACTCGTATTTTTCCACTTTCGAGTTGCTCTTCACTTAGGTGGTTCGGAGCATTGTCTAATAGCAAAATACATTTTCTAGGATATCCGCGATCTGTCTTGGGAACAAAATGATTGTAAAACCAGTCCTTAAATAGAGCGACATTCCATCTAGGCATTTTTTGATTTTTATATCACACTCGAAGTGCGTTGGGGCGGACGTGTTTAAATGCTCTTGGGTTAGCTGATTTTCCGATTAACAACAAAGGAAGTTTGTGTGTACCGGAAGCATTGCTACAAGCAAGGATAGTCACACGTTCTTCACTGCGTTTGTAAGCAGGAGCTCCAGATTCTTGTTTTGAAGCTAAACTTTTCGTCTGACTGTAAAGTTATCAGGCGCCTCAATAACTTTCGATTCTTCACTTAAGTTGACTGCCTTTTGCTTTAAAATTGGTTCTGAAATTGATATTCCACGTTTTCGATTCTGAGTAAACCACAGATATTAAGAATCATCCACTTTTTGATATTCCTCCTTTTACATAGTGTTCCGTGATGGCTGCGATGATGTCAGAACACTAGACCACTTTTCAATTTTCTCGCGTTGTTTTTTCCATTCTGAAATGGTACTCACGCCCACACTCAAAGCATTTGCCACGTTTTTAAGCAAATCACCTCTATCTAAACGTCTGATTGCCTCAAGTTTCTGTTCTATGGTAATAACAAACCGTTTACGTTTATTTCTATGCTGCTCCATCTTAGCGATTATGAACCTGACTGAAACAAATATTTACACACACATACCAGTGAATTCCGCAAACGCGCTTGTGGAATCACCGGCAGCGAATCTAATGACGCAAACGCCGAAAGGGGAACTACCGGCGGCTATTTCGGATCATGCGCCGATTTCCTGAACAACTTCGGTTAAAACGGAGAAATTATGGTATGCGATCTGATTCGGATAAAGCGGATTCCGGATAATCGCGATTTGGATAATAGGGGTTCTACTGTACATTCCTTTCATTTAAATGATCATACAAGGTGTTGAAAATGAGTTATATTGCGCCACTGGCAGTTTAAATTAGTTTACTGCTTCGAATGGATAACATCATGTGGGCCTCCACCTGAATACAATGCTGTCAGCATTTCGTTGACAGTATCCGCAGAAGCTATTTATGAAAAACAGACTTGCAGAGCCATTCATAATTTATAGCAAATTGCTACACTGGTACTTACCACATATTCTGGCATACCTGCTCACCTATTCAATAGAATGATGTTTGTCTCCTAAAAAGATGATAGGATAGCTTGTTGAGGAAAATCTTGGTTACTTTTCTTATCACACTACAATCTTTAGATAGCTTAACAGATTATTCCATAAAACTGACGCTTTATGCAGCAGACTCAAACTCTTCGCTTAGTTAAAGCTTTCAATCTTCCAGGTGACTTATTTGTCTTCCAATGGCTATTCGACGAGGCACAAATCAGCGCGGATAACGTTGGAGCTCCAGTGACCAAGCAGCAATGGGATTACATCCATGAAATGGGTGACGCGTTGAAGCATAGCTTTCAAAACGTTTCAGCTGTCTTCGCACCATCATGCGTCTCTCATGCTGTGCTTACAAAGCGGGATTGGCAACAGGTAAATATAAAAATTATGTGATTTTCGTTTTCCTAGATTTAAAAGTTAGGTTAGAATTATTGATTCCCAATAGGCAAGTGCCACTTATTGCAACCTTTGGAAGCTAGCACTTTGTGTGTACGTATAACCTATGAACGTTTGATCCTCACCATTGGTTGGCCCAGTTGAACTGATAACACATATACCCTATTTCACAAGGATCCATCCAAATTACTGATTTAAGGTTTGAACTATTCATATAGTGCAACTATGACGCAGTCATTCAAGTCGCTTCACCTGAAAATTTGGTGAAAACAGAAACAAAAGAAGCCAATAACATAAAAAACCCAAATATACAAAATGAACAAGGCCTCACATCACCCAAACACATGGAAGATACTCTTATGTTTCACTCACATCCAAGATACGTGACGTCACGTGGACAGGACCTACCGATTCTCAGTAGAAAGCGACACTCGCCCCGACCTTTGCATGTTGCTTCCATACACTTCACAAATGGTAGCTGTCATTAGTATTACTTAAAATTTCAGACATGGGTTATGTCTGAATTCAACATTTTCAAGCACTGAAGTAACCACAAAGATCATAACCGTACAAAGCGACAGTGGCGTAACTACCTGGTGCGGCAGTTGGTGATGTTATCCTATCGAAAGTCAAAAGTAATACACTTTATATGATTTATGAACGTCATGGACCATTTAATATTTATATTTAAAATATTGAACAAATAACAAACCAGAATAAAAATTAAGACAGAAAAAATATTTTTATCTTACAGTTAAAATATCTTCTTCGTAGCTTTGGCAGCTGCAAATTCAGAAACAACTTAATCAAAATTCATATTTTTTATTGCCTAGTGTTCGATGGCTAATATACCAGGATTGCTAAGCCGCGATTGGGTCATTGTTGCCGCAAATAGTTTCCCTGAATTATACATAGAGCTGAGCTAGTGCTTGTGGAGGAATCACATAAGTAGACAGCTGTGCTAGTGATTTAATTTTTTTTATGTTTGTACATTGTTCTTAAAGTGGTTGTCACCCCAAAAAGGTGACACCCGGTGCGACCCGCCCCCGCCGCCCCCTTGCCACGCCAATGCAAAGCGATACTTGGTATTTAAAATAATAACCCATGCAATACAATTATCTATTCTTAGAAATCATCAGGAGCGCATAGTTTTTTATTCACAACTCCGTCGCCACAAAGCCTTTACGCGCACGGTATTGTAGTCTATAGCGATGCTACGACAGGAAATGAATGTTTTGTATATAACGTTGCTGTGGAGCACTTAATACCCAAATTAATAAATTAGAAATTATCCAAAAACAATTTAAAAAAATAATCTCTGACAAGCCACCCTTATACCCATCTGATCTGTTGTATTCTGAAGCAAAACTATTAGACGCAAGGCAAAAAAATTTTTATAAAATTATAAATTATCAATTTCACCATAGAAATAATCTTATTCCGTTAGATCACTTATATCAAACTAGAAACAAAATCAACAACATTAAGCAAACACCTTTCACCTCAAAACGTATAGGCCAAAGATGTCATACTTACCTTTTCAGTAGATTATATAATATATTACCAAATTATATAAGAACTATTTCAAATAAAACAAAATTCAAAATTGAAACCAAAAAATTTATAACTGAAAAAAATGGACATCAAATTGTAAACATGATATGTATGAAAGAAATTTAAAATTAATGTAGTAATAAAAAACCTCCAACGTTCATAGGTATTCATTGTATGTATATATGTATGTATAGGTGTGTATGAGTATGTGTATATGTATATATGTGTGTAGGTGTATATATATATACATACATATATACACATACATATATATGTACAGGGTGGCCAAACACGTGACGTCATAAAAAAAAATTAGATTCCCCACATCGAGAGGAACCCAAATCACCCCCATATATATGGTCCGATTTTGTTTAGTTTAGGAGTTATGATTTTTTTTCGGATTTTTCGAGAATTTTTGAGTTCTGTGTTTATTTTTACCATAACTTTGTTAATAATTGTGATAAATGCCTGCTTTTTTCACGATTATGTAGCTAAGACCTAAGGCTTAACTATCATATAATCATTCAAGTCATGTAACTAATACTACTTTTTAATTTTTTTCAAAATCTTCGAACATAACAAAAAAGTAAAAAAGTGCAACAACTTTGAACGTTTATAAAAAATTGAAAAAACATGTTCTTACTATTCGTAAGTATCTTAAAAACTTCCTTACGGTATCAGCTATTTACCGTAAAAATTTCATCAACCTAGCTTTACTACATGCTACCGTAATTGTGGCTCAAATAGAACCGAACCCAAAATTGGATAACCCTCTGCTCAATAGAAATTGTTAGTTTCGGAAAAAAAATTTGCAAAAACCACAAAAACACGTTTGATTTTTACTGAACAGCAGATTATTATTCATTTATGTTATTTACAAGAGGTTTTCAAAATGTCTGCCTCTAACAGAAATGCACAGTGTACACCTACGTATGAAATTTTGTTTTAAATCTCTAAATGCTTGTGTGTTGTTTTTCAACACATGTGTCGCTTCTTGAATTTTGTTCCTCAATGAATTTTCATTTGCACATTCGCGAATGTTATGTCTTTAAAATATCCCCAAACAAAAAAATCAATGGGGTTGAGGTCAGGGGAGCGTGGAGGCCATCGTATCGGTCCGTTTCGTCCGATCCATCTGTCTGGGAACCTTTCGTTTAAGTAGTTTCGCACGATCGTTGCGTTGTGGCATGGTGCACCATCATTCTGGAACACCATGTTCCGTCTGGCTTCCAGGCTTGAATCTTCCAGCAATAATGGTAGGCTATTTTCAAGGAAGCTTTTGTAGGCTACCGAATCCAACCTTGACGGCAGTTCAAATGGACCGATAAATTCCATATTGAATATTCCTGACCACATGTTCACACTAAAACGGTGTTGAAATGTCGACGGCCTTGAGTGGTGGGGGTTTTCAACAGCCCAAGTATGTAAATTATGGATATTGAATATCCCTGTTCTTTCAAAACGTGACTCGTCATTCCATAAAATTTTATCAAAAAAATCGGGATCCTCTCGTTGTCTTCGCAGCATTGTCTCGCAACCAACAGAGGACACGTCATCACCACCGACCAGCCACGTCATCTACGGCACAGGACACGTCAGCCGTTCTGGTATAAATAACCCCGAAAGGCTAAGTCACCTGCAGACGAAATAAGAGGCCATATCAGCCGAAACCTCGTGCTCTAAAAAATTGGATATTCCGGGACTCTGCTTTGCATACTGATTTGGACTTTGTTTGCTAAGAAGTTTGTGATGCATTATACGTTGCGTGAATATGCAGAAATGCATTATTATTATGGCGTTGCTCAAGGCAACGGCGCTTTAGCAGCTCAGCTGTACCGGGAACAACTTATACGCCGAGGCGGACCACAACCTGAGCATTACCCAGACCACCGTGTTTTTATTAACACACATAACACTTTCATGGCAGGCCGCATTTCAGGACGAGGAAGCAATGAAGGATATCCTACAGCTGATCCGGATCGCAGAGAAGTAGTACTTGAAGAAATTAGCCGGAATCCCTCAACGAGTACGAGATCTATGGCACAAAACCTTAGAATACCACGAACATCGATACAAAATATTCTTCATGAAGAAGGTTATCATGCCTATCATGTTCAAAGAGTTCAAGCGTTGATGCCTTCAGATTACCAGTTAAGAGTGGATTTCTGCGAGACAATGCTGCGAAGACAACGAGAGGATCCCCATTTTTTTGATAAAATTTTATGGACTGACGAGTCACGTTTTGAAAGAACGGGGATATTCAATATCCATAATTTACATACTTGGGCTGTTGAAAACCCCCACCACTCAAGGCCGTCGACATTTCAACACCGTTTTAGTGTGAACATGTGGTCAGGAATATTCAATATGGAATTTATCGGTCCATTTGAACTGCCGTCAAGGTTGGATTCGGTAGCCTACAAAAGCTTCCTTGAAAATAGCCTACCATTATTGCTGGAAGATTCAAGCCTGGAAGCCAGACGGAACATGGTGTTCCAGAATGATGGTGCACCATGCCACAACGCAACGATCGTGCGAAACTACTTAAACGAAAGGTTCCCAGACAGATGGATCGGACGAAACGGACCGATACGATGGCCTCCACGCTCCCCTGACCTCAACCCCATTGATTTTTTTGTTTGGGGATATTTTAAAGACATAACATTCGCGAATGTGCAAATGAAAATTCATTGAGGAACAAAATTCAAGAAGCGACACATGTGTTGAAAAACAACACACAAGCATTTAGAGATTTAAAACAAAATTTCATACGTAGGTGTACACTGTGCATTTCTGTTAGAGGCAGACATTTTGAAAACCTCTTGTAAATAACATAAATGAATAATAATCTGCTGTTCAGTAAAAATCAAACGTGTTTTTGTGGTTTTTGCAAATTTTTTTTCCGAAACTAACAATTTCTATTGAGCAGAGCGTTATCCAATTTTGGGTTCGGTTCTATTTGAGCCACAATTACGGTAGCATGTAGTAAAGCTAGGTTGATGAAATTTTTACGGTAAATAGCTGATACCGTAAGGAAGTTTTTAAGATACTTACGAATAGTAAGAACATGTTTTTTCAATTTTTTATAAACGTTCAAAGTTGTTGCACTTTTTTACTTTTTTGTTATGTTCGAAGATTTTGAAAAAAATTAAAAAGTAGTATTAGTTACATGACTTGAATGATTATATGATAGTTAAGCCTTAGGTCTTAGCTACATAATCGTGAAAAAAGCAGGCATTTATCACAATTATTAACGAAGTTATGGTAAAAATAAACACAGAACTCAAAAATTCTCGAAAAATCCGAAAAAAAATCATAACTCCTAAACTAAACAAAATCGGACCATATATATGGGGGTGATTTGGGTTCCTCTCGATGTGGGGAATCTAATTTTTTTTTATGACGTCACGTGTTTGGCCACCCTGTATATATATATATATATAGGTGAAAAATTAAAGCTTCCGCCTTTTGTTGGGTATAAAGAGTCCTCTTTGCTTAAATTTTGTCGAAGTACCCAACAAAAGGCGGAAGCTTTAATTTTTCACCTAACTGGTCTAGATATATATATATATAACTTAATTAACTTTTCTTTGCGAAAGTCTTTTTAAAAATTTTATTTGCGAGAAAACCGAGTACAGATAGATGTTCGTGGATTGAGTTCTGAATCGAGACTGTTTTAAAAATACGTTATACAATGCAAAAGAAGGACAATTGAAATATAATACTTTTAACTGATAAACATGAGTCGCAGTGAAAAAGTGCTGAATGGGCTTCATCGTCTTTATAGACTGGTACATAATTTATAAATATATATATATATATATATGTGTATGTTTGTGTAAAATGTAAGTTAATACCCACGCACAAGAATTTATTCTTCTGTGGGTAAATTCAGTTTATTTACGTATACCGATATTAGTTTTATTTATATTTTTATGTTACGTAAATATACTCATTATTATTATTATTATTATTATAATTGGGCCTAGGTTGAAGTCATTAAAAGAATCTAAATGCTCAAAATCTCCAAATGCTGACCGGTCTCTCGTCTGAGTCATATACATAGGGGCCAAAGTCTACCGGACAAACAACAACTGACAGACAAAAATAGATGATACGTTTTCTGGTTACATATGCATATTAGTATATCCAACAACACGAAATATCTTGAATTTGTTTTTTTTCTTGACTGCAGTACTTTCTTTCCATGGACATTAAAAACTTTAGTTGACTACTAATCCTCTTGTCAAACACTATGCAAGTATTTATTTTATATTTTATTCTAGGTGAAGATCGATGACGTTTCGATAGCGGAAGCATTACACTGCTGGGAACAGAAAACGAAGAGACGGAGGTTAAAACGATTGAAAAATGCAGCCAAAAGAAAGAGGAATAGAGTTGCTGGTGGGAAAAACAAAAGAGCTGAAACAGTAGAAACAGTGAGTAGAGGTGGCAACAAAAGGAGACAACGAAACAACAAGAAAGGACGACGGAAGCATGGTAAGTAGATATGCTCCTTTGAGATTACAAATGTAACAAAATGACTAATCCAACTCTTGAAGTGAGTATAATATAAATGACTTGCAATATATATATATATACAGTGAAAGCTCTCCTTGCGGACAGCTCCTATAAGCGGACATCTCTTTTAACCGGACAAAGTTCCTGGAACCGAATTTCAGCCATCAATTTTCAATGTTAAATGCATTCCGATAAACGGACGCTCTTATAAACGGACGCGGACACTAGATTTTCCTGTATGTGATCAAAAAATCTCCCATAAGCGGACGCGAAACTCTAATACCCGGACGATTTTTTAGTTCCGCTTATTGCAATGCACATATCTACATACATAAAATTCGGTAATTCCCCGATTTATATTAGGTGATTCCCCATTTACGCATTTCGTTGGGTAGCCTGTATGTAATCTTGTGGCTTGTCTTCAGTTCAGGCAAATTCGTAGTTGATTGAGTTACGTATTTCATTATTGTAACTGTAAAATGGCACCAAAAAAAAGGATGCTCTCGTTAAAGGAAAAGATGGAAGTTGTTAACGTATTAGACAGAGAAAGTGTTTCAGTTCGTCATTTGGCAAAGAGGTTTAATATTGGGAAAACGCAAGCAGCTGAAATTGCCAAAAATAAGGAAGATATCAGGAGTAAATGGCAATCAGGAACTAATATAAATCAAAAGAAGGATTTTTAAAAAAAGGAAGGTTTTGCTATAGACAAAACATGTTTTGAGTGGTTTGTGAAAGCTAGAAGTCAGAACATTCCAATCTCAGGGCCGTTAGTGAAAATGAAAGCTAAAGAAATCGCCACTACTTTGGGCTATAATAATTTCAGTGCGTCCGACGGGTGGCTGCAAAAGTGGCGCAAGAGACATAGTGTGAGTTTCAAATGCATATCTGGCGAAGCTGCTGCAGTAGATCAAGTTGATGTGTCACAATTTTTGGAGAAACTTCCGTCCATGTTGCTTGGCTACAAACCAGAAGATGTGTACAACGCAGATGAGAGTGGACTTTTTTTTCGCGCATTGCCCGACAAAACTCTGTCCTTTAAAGGAGAAACATGTGTGGGTGGAAAGTTGTCTAAAGATAGACTAACCATTTTATTCTGTGCAAATATGGCCGGTGAAAAATGCGATTTGATTGTGATCGGGAAAGCGGCTCGTTCCCGTGCTTTAAAAAACGTTGCTATTAAGGATCTACCAGCGACTTGGAAATCCAACAAAAAGGCATGGATGACCCGAGAAATCATGTCTGAGTGGTTAGTCGAATTCGACCGGAAAATGAGAATCCAAAAAAGGCAAGTTTTTTTATTTTTAGACAATGCATGCTCTCATCCTCGTGATATGAAAATGAAAAATGTGAAAATTATATTTTTACCGCCAAACACAACTTCTGTTTGTCAGCCCATGGATCAAGGTGTCATACAGAACTTTAAATTTTATTATCGGCACTTGATTTTAAAACATATTTTAACAAAAATTGACGATGGTCAAAGCTTATCTGAGCTTACAAAGTCTATCAATGTGTTAGAAGCTTTGTATTTTATAAAAACAGCATGGAATAAAGTAAATTCCTCTACAATTAAAAACTGTTTTGGCAAAGCTGGATTCAGAAAAAGTGAATGTAGCTCAGAATTTGCTGAGCAAAATTATTGCGATGCTGAAGAGGATCTGCCCTTAGCGACACTTGCTCAGTTACTGCGACATGCCAAACATTTAGGAGTAGCAGATCCCCAGAAAGTAGATGATTTCCTGGCCATAGACAATAACATAACAACAGAAGAAAATGCCATTGGCAACTTTTCGAATTTGGATGTAGAAAGCCCAGGCCAACTTGAATATGGTAGTCCAAACGACTCAGAAGAAGAAGTGGAACTGGTGGACTCACTAAGCGGTTCAAAAACGATAAATTCATATGGGGAAGCTCTAAATCATATTTCTATATTGAAAAAATTTGCTAAAGATGATTTCACTGCATTTCAACATTTGAAAAATTCAGAAAGTTATTACGAAAATTGTCTCCTTCAGCAAAAGATGGTGAAATTTCGTCAGACAAACATTTTAAACTTTTTTCAACAAGCTAAAGAATAATGTTTTTTTTAAATTCTCGTACCATGTATTGAAGCATTTATGTTTTTGTATGCGTATATGTACATATATTATATAGATATATAGCATAAATACATACTTTAAAAATGTGGCGAGTTTCTGTTTTATTTTTCTCATGATTATAATACCTCATTTCCTCATGATTATATACCCCGTTATTTATACTCTATACTTACATACTCTCTTTTAAACGGACACCTCCCATAAGCGGACAAAAGTTACGGAACCGTGAGTGTCCGCTTATGGGAGCTTTCACTGTATATACAGGGATTGTCCGGAAGGTAATAGGACTCATATTCTTCCGTCATGACTGTACTTCGGAGCGTGCGCGCACCGACTGGATTCGGTAGAGGGCGTTCCTAGCTAACGAATGATCGGCTGGTCAGTTGTCTCCGAGCACTTGGAGAGTCAGGACAGGCTTTTTCGCGCAACGAGTTTCTGTGAGTGGTGCAAGCCGAAAATGCAGCGTTCGTTAGAGCAGAGGTACGCGATTAAATTCTGTGTGAAACTCGGTAAATAATGTTTTGAACTCAGACCGTCGACTAAGTATTCGTGTAATTGCCCAGATGTTAAATTTACCAAAATCTGTGGTTCATGACATTGTGACACAGCATTTGAACATGCGCAAGGTGTGCGCGAAGATGGTCCCAAAAGTGCTCACTGACGACCAGAAATTGCGGCGAGTGGAAGTGTGCCAAGAAAATTTGAACATGTGTGAAAGTGACTTCCAATTTTTGAATAACGTAATCACAGGTGACGAGTCGTGGATCTTTGAGTATGATCCCGAGACAAAGAGGCAATCTTCCGAGTGGCACACGACGGCGTCTCCTCGCCCAAAAAAGGGAAGAATGAGCAAATCCAAAGTGAAAACGATGTTCATTGTCTTTTTTGACATCAAAGGCATCGTCCACCATGAATTTGTTCCTCCTGGACAAACCGTCAACGCCAAGTTTTACGTGGAAGTGCTCAGGAGACTCAAACCAAGGGTCAATCGGGTCCGACAAGACATCGCAGCCGACTGGAAGTTGCACCACGACAAAGCTCCGGCTCACACCGCCTTTCTTGTGAACAGCTACCTGACCAAGGCCGGCATCCCAGCGCTTCCGCAGCCGCCCTACAGCCCAGTTGTGGCCCCCCGGACTTTTTTTGTTTCCTCGCCTGAAAAGGCCGATGAAAGGCAAGCATTTTGAGACGACAGAGGGGATCCAAGCAGCATGCACAGCGGCTCTCAAGGCTATCCCGGAGAATGCCTTCCGTGACGTCTTCAATGTTTGGAAATCGCGCTGGCAGCGCTGCATCGACGCAGGAGTCTATTTTGAAAGTTTTTGAAGGATTGTAACGATTGGCTCGAAAAATTTTTTTAAATCGACTCAGTCCTATTACTTTCCGGACAAACCCTGTATATATATATATATAAAGTGCATCATCGTTGAAAAACATGCAATCACCTTGTTTCAGCTGTCAAGAATGGATTCTTGTCTAAGATACATCATTCATTACGTGAAGAAATTTAAAAAAAGACATGTAAATCTCTAGGTCAATCTACTTGACGTCATTTTTTATTGTTCCAGATCGCAACCGGCAGCAACTAACTCACAACCGTCCCACGTCCCTTCATCCAAAGCCAGGTGAAAAGCGTCCCTCCAGGACGCTACCTGGAGCTCAAAAGCCACACCACAGGTGCGCGCACAGACGCCTGGAGAGATGCTCATGGCCCCAGTGTAATCATTCATGCCCAAGGTTGCACGATCCCTTCACAGGAGAAGAGATGGATTTCATTCAGCTACTGAAGTCTTTCGGATTGGACATGGACAGTGTCGCAAATGCACTGGGAATCGACATACAAACGCTCAACAACATGGACCACGGAGAACTGCTCAATATGCTTACGCAACAGTCGACGTAGGCTGTGAAGGAATAAAGGTTGCTCTTGGAAATAATTTGCGATTCAAATCAAATCCGTGAAATTGAATAATTCTCAAGATAGAGGCAATATTGCCAAATCGCGTTGTTCAAATTAAAGGACAATTGGAATCATGGTCTTTCAGGGAGCAAACTTAACATTGCCATTCTAAACAAAATGGGATACGGTGATGAGTTTTTTTTGGGGAGGAGGGAATAATGAAAATTAAGTACATACTTAGATTCATGGTTATGCACGAGAAAGAGAGAGAGAGAGAGACGGGGGAGAGGAAAAAACCAAACTAATACTAATAGTGAATTTCTTGCAGAATATGTCCTTCTCCAAGGTTTAATCTAAATAAATGCTAAAATTCATCAAAATTGGTTAAGCCATTTGGCGTGACAGCCCGTAAACTCTTTCACCAAGGTCACAAAATCCATTTTCAGTTTATGTCTACTCTATCTTTGGAGTATTGCCAATTTCAGGGATCTATCAGGATTTTCAAATAGACGTGTGAGTATCTTTTAACCCCCACATTACGGCCCTGTCACAAAATGCGTTCTTAACTGACATCTACTACCTATAAACTACCTCTCTGACAAATTACCTCAAGTAGAGAAACAAAGGACGTTCGTGAAAACTTGTAAATACATCTATTTCTCTTTAATCTGGCCCTGTCGCAAAATCAGTTCCTCGCTGAAATGTCCTGTCTATAAGTTTGTTCATACTCATGTTTACAGATCAAAGATTTTCGAGATTTCGTGATTAACACTTTTGCATTTATATCTGCTCGTAAGCCCTCTTAACCCAGCCCTGTCGCGTTTCAGTTCTGAGCTGATATATGTCCTGTCCTTAAAGTACCACTCTGCTGAAGTTCATGTTAATAGATTACATAGTTTTCGACAGAAATTTATGAAAATTTGACTTGATGGAACCATTGTAACCGACTCAAAGGCCAAGGCTGAAGCGATTGCCAAGATCTTTGCTGCCAACTCCACCATGGGCGTCCCCTCCAACGCCCAAGTGCCGTCGATTCATAGGGTTCGCTACACTATGCGGGAAGTATCATCAGGTATAAGACCATAAGACGGGTGCTCTTGTCGCTTGACATCAACAAAGCTTCAAGTCCGGACTTGATTCCTGCCATTGTACTGAAGAGGTGCGTAGCGGAGCTTGCTCCAGTTCTCTCGCGTCTCTTATGAATCCGGTACCTTCCCAGAAACCTGTAAATTTTCACATGTCCAAGCCATCCCAAAAAAAGGCATATAGCTCCGCTTTCTGATATAAGCAAGGTGATTGAGAGGTGCATGAATCGCGAGGTTTTGAACTACCTCGAACGTCACGGCTTGATTAGCGACAGGCAGTATGGTTTCCGGCACAAACGACCCACAGGGGACCTCTTAGCTTACGCCACGCAATTGTGGAGTTAACTCATCCAGCCTTATGGTGAGGCTCATGTCGTTGCTCTTGATATGGCAAAAGCGTTCGATCAGCTGTGGCACGCCGCCTTCTTATGCAAACTTCCATTCTATAGCCTGCCAGAGAAGCTTTGCAGATGGGTGGCTAACTTTCTCTCTAGCCGCAAGATATCCGTCGTAATTGACGGGTTCTCCTTTTAATGCCACAATGTCAACGCGGGTCTTCCCCAGGAATCGGTCTTGGCTCCGACACTGTTCTTCTTACATATCAGCGTCCGCCTTTCATGTACGATTAACCCAAACCACAGCTTTGCTGATGACAGCAATCTTGTACAGTTTAATGCTTCCAAAACACAGTACTGTACTTGGATGAACAAAATGCGTCCTAGCGCTCATGCGGATTTGATGGATGGCCGAGTTCTGCCAAAGAGCCGTTCATTTCGGTTTGTCGGAGTCCAGATCACCGAGGACTTGATCTGGCACGAACACATCTCGTCAATAGTGGCAGCTGCTGGGAAAAAGCTATACTATTTGTGTTGGGGCTAAGCAGTTTTTTTCTCCGCATGACCTTCTCACTTTATACAAGGCCAAGATAAGGCCTAGCCTCGAGTATTGCTCACACGTTTGGGGTCCTGCCGCCCCGCCTACATTATTTATGCTTGGTGCTGTTCAGAGAAGGGCTGTCCGATTGATCGATGACTCTTCTCTAACAGACAGTCTCGGGACCCTTTCGCACCGGCGGGTCGCCGGCGATCTAGCTATGTTCTACCGCTACACCAACGGGCTTTGTTCCTCATAGTTCTCTTTCATGATGCCGTCGCGCGATGTGAATGCTAGACAGACCCGACTGATTTTGGCCTCCCATCCTAACCGTGTGAACTTCGTACATCCAGAACTGACCGATGCGACCGCTCCTTTGTCCCGAGGGTGTCGAGATTGTGGAACAATCTACAAGAGGAAGCTTTTCTCAGTTCTGCTAACCTTAAGCATTTGAAAAATCGGATTAACAAAATTTCTTTGGGATCCTCATAGCAGTTGCGGTGCCTTGGCTTTTGCCTGCCCGGCTGCTTCGGTATAAAAAATATACAAGACCCATATTTGTTTCTCCCCCTATTTCAACCCCTCAAGTTTTATTTTGGCAACAAAACTTAGCCTATGTCCGTCTCCTAGGTTTAATCTATATCTATGCTAAAATCCGTTAACATCGGTTTAGCCGTGTTGACGTGAAAACGGAACAATCAAACGTACATAAAACCATACCTACAACATACATACAAACGACATTACACTACTACAACCTACCTACACAAACATACATACAAACAACATACAAACATACATACAAACATACTACAACATACATACATACACTACCATACATACAACATACCTACAAACACATACACCATACATACATACAAACATACATACATAACATAACATACAAACATACATACACATACCTACCATAAAGACAAACATACACAAACATACTACAAACATACATACAAAACATTTACATAAAGCATACATACAAACATTACATACAAACATACATACAAAATACATACAACATACATACAAACATACATACAAACAATACATACAAACATACATACAAACATACATACAAACATGCATACAAATACTACACATACTACATACAAACATACATACAACATACATACAAACATACATACAATACAACATTACATACAAACATACATACAAACATACATACACATACATACAACATACATACAACATACATACAACATACATACAAACATACATACAAACATACAATACATACAAAACATACATACAAACATACATACAACATACATACAAACATACATACAAACATACATACAATACATACAAACATACATACAAACATACATACAAATATACATACAAACATACAAACATACATTCAAATATACCTACGATACGCTACTCTCATTGTAGGAATGACAGTACAATTATACTATCGTTAGTATACACGGTGAGGTTCAAACTTAACTGACGTCGTAATGTGTACGAGAGGGCGCGTACAATATGTGTGTTAGAAAGAGTGCGCCAACGGCATCCGTGACCTCGTACTCGGGTTGTTAGGCAACGGGGTGGTTCTATCTATTTTGTCACACATATTGCACGCTTCTCTCTCATACACGCTACGACGCCAGCTAAATTTGAACCCACTGTGTATACTGCTATATTCCAGTAAAGACATACAAAGTGTATGAAATTAAAAGCCATACTGGCAAAGCCATGCAGATAAAATTCAAACTTACTGTGATTTTGATATTATGAGAAGGCTATATCGTCAGTAGTGCATATTTCATTGATTAAATTATGTGAATTGTACGACTCTAAGGTCTAAGGTCTAGGCTATACTGGACTTCTAAATTGTTTCATTATAATTCGAAAGCAACAGACCTGGCTAAATGATGATTTTTTTGGATGTTCTGGCTTGAAGTTTCTTTTGTCTGTCTTACCTTACCTGTTGACCTCGTTCACATTTTTTATCAGACGTTCACCCAAAATGTGGAGAAAATCACCTTCCCAGAGCAATACTATGCACATATTATTTTTACGTACTTGTATATATACAAATGTAAATAATGGTACTTGTTGCGAATGTATGAAAATACAATTCTGACAACTTTAAATTATAATTAAGGATCGATTAAAATTGTATTTATTTATTTATAATTTATTTGAAGATTTTTGACAACTTTCTAAGGAAAGATGCTGCGCAAACGTATTTTATATTTAGAAGTATATAGACTTGCGTTAATTTGTTTCAATGCATAAGGTAATCAAGCTTATGATCAATTTATATAATAAAATAAACGAATGAAAGGGTACTGAGGAAATAGAATAATTATGATTCTGTTTATAATATATAACACATTTTTTTATAATAAGTCTGGAAATGTGGACTGTAATGAAATCAATTTAAACATTGTACAAATTTTCGGCAATTTATATACTTCTATTGATATTTATGTCAATTTTGTTATATATTTTTATGTATATTTTTGGATTTAAATGCTCTATTTGTACAAATCTCACCGAAACCTCTCACGTGTTTTCATTCGGTTTTAATTTAACTTCATTTGTACACATTGTATCCAAAGAATGTTTGCCTAATATCTACAATAGGACTGATTTATGTTCTACCTCATTTTGTATATTTTTTTAGTCGATAGGTTACCTTTTTTTATTTTTGTAACGTCTATAAGCTTCTAGCAATATAATGGATACATATACGATTTCATGTCTTCCTTATCCCAGAAAGTACGTACCTTTTATATTGTGCAGTCTCTCTTCTACTGGAGGTTTAGATCGATAAGGTATAAGGTATGTACGCATAATGGTGTCCTTGCAGCCATTCACTATTAATTTCCACAAGCCTGAAATGTTTTAGACAGAAAAGAAAAATAGTCGCTGATGTACAAAAGGAAAAAAATAGGAGAAACAGTCTTTCCGCCAAGGGATCGAAAAACTTTTTATTCAAGAAAGAACAACGGAGAGGCAACTAACTAATCAGAAAGCGATAGGTATATCAGAATTGAATATCAACATCTAACTTCTTTCAAGTACAGTAGGATCTTGAAAACAATTGTATTTTTCTTAAAGCCAATTAGTGTGTAATATTATATAGGGGGTTGAAACTATCTGAGACCAGTCTAGCGCAAAGTTTTTTTACCTCATGGAGGATTGAAGCCACCTCTGACCAGCCTTGCGCAAAGATTTTAAACTAAACGGGATTGCAATGGAAAATGGGTCTGGACATGATTAATACACGTATTCAAGGTAAGGATCCTATGCATCGGGATCTCAATACCTGTGTGATATACAGCTTTGGTTAAATTAGGAATAAGCTGTGTTCTTTGGAGTATATTTACATCCCGTTGAGAAACTTGTAAAAATTTCATGGCTTCTGGTATTCGAGAAAAACTAAAATTTGGCCAAATCGTTTTCATTTTTTTCGGAACTTATTTAAGGAGATCTCAAAAAGCATTGGCACTTTTTGGCACTACATAATGGTGTTTTTAAAGTTTGTGGCCGACGCTCCGTTTTTGGAAACCATCATCACTTTTATTTTTCTATATGGTCCGAAACAAAGTACAACCCAGTATCTTTTTTTACCAATTCAACGACAACATTTAATTTCCTAGTTGTACACAAAAATGTGTTTTTTTATTTTCTTATTTCATTTAAGTATGTCTTGCAAACAAATGCTTGATGTAAGATTATGTGATTATTGAGCGATGCATATTATATATGGCGGGGACAAATTTTATAGATTGATGCGTAATCTAGTGATATTCAGAATAACGAATACAATTTTATCATTATTTTTATTTTATTCACAATATGTGTTCAAATAGGTTGCCATTATTTTCTAAACATATGATCTTCTAACAGTAGCATTAAAAACATCACGTAACATTTCTGGTGTAATCATACTACTTCCATTAGACATTCTCGTAACTTCTGATCAGTTTCAAAAGTATGCTTGCTGATAAATTTGCCCTTCACTGGAGCCCCAAACAAAAAAGGCCAAAGGAGTTAAATCCTGGAACGCGCTGGTCAGGAAATTCCACTGGAGGTTACAATCTACATTTCGGTAAATCGCTGAGAAAGGTACTTTCGAGCTTGCCCAGAGTTACGTGAAATGGACAGCTATCAAAAGACCTTTAGGGCATGTTGCAACAATTAAAGGTACCGTTCTGGAGTTAATGAGTTGTAGTAAACAAATGGACTTAATATTTTGGTCCCTAGATCACAACATGTTAAACCCGAAGAATTTCTGATGTCTGGATACTTTTTTAGTCCGCAGATCTTCTTGAGCTCAGTAATGAGTGTTGCGGCGATTAAATGTACCATTATTAGTGATCATACCCTCGTCGGTCCATATTATTTTTGAAGGGAAATTAACATCTTCACCCGTTTGTGTGTACCACTGACAAAAAAAGCCGGCGCCGTTCTCTGTTCTCTTGTCTAAGTCCTTGGTAAATCATGAATTTATAGGAGTGATATCTATTTTTCCGCAAAATACATTTTTCTCAATTTGCCTAGCTGAGTTCTCCGCAACTGCTTGTAAAGCCTTATTCTGAGATTTCTCCAAAGATTTTTTTTGAGACGAAACAGACTTTTCGATTTTCGAGTGGGCCATATTCATTTACATGAATTTCGAGCCACCTCTAAGAAAATGGACTTACTTCTGGCTTCTTTTGGAAAATTCATCAAGATACATTTCTGCAGCAATTTAGTAGTTTTGTAGCATAAAATGTATCACTTCAGCGTGTCTAACTTTTCTTCATTGCTAAAATGACTGCCTGACATCTATGACGACAATAAAGCAATATTAACGATTCACAATAACAATACTCGGCTTAAGATAAAGTCAGAAAAAAATAAAAATGATTTGGCCAAATTTTAGTTTTCCCCAAATATATCAGTCAGCCATCAAAGTTCTACAAGTTTCTCAACGGCATGTAAGTACGCCCCAAAAAACGCAACTTTTTCCTGATTCAACCTAAGCTGTGTCTCCCACAGGAATTGATATCCCAATGCATATGGTCCTTAATTGGTCTATCTCTCAGTTTCGAGTTGATGAGTTCTCATCTTGGAATTGTGAAGTCAGAAAACCATGTGAAGTTGCTAGTCCATAAAAATGACATATGGATAGTAATAGACTATTCAAAATATAAAGATTTTCGCGAAGCTTCAGTTTTGCAATTTAGAAAATGTTACGCATGTACTACATGGATACAGAGAAAAAGAGTTTACACTATTTCCAAGCATTCTATTGACACTCATTTTTTCAATATGTCAAGTTCAGCTGATTCAGGTTTTCCATCGTTGATAGAAACCTCCGCAACTTCTTTAACTTGTTGCTTGAATTTCAAGAAAAATCTCATTTCATCTAAAAAGTTCCGGATGAATGGCTTGTGTTGTTGCTTGCATTTCTTGTGGACATGCCACGCCAATTCTCCGAAAGATCCGAGTATTCCAAGGATTGTTCCAATGGTTAGTACCAGAAAAACACCACCAACGTTCTGAAGGTCTAGGGGGGTTGCTTCACTGCCTTCTGATTTTGCCTGTAAATAGGTTGTAATTAAAAAAGCCTAATGTCGGGATGTTCTAATTAGTATGTATTCTGTCTTACAGCTGAAGTCCACCACATTGAGTTATGATTGAACAAAATTCTAGGTGTTCTGACGGCAATGCGACTGAAAAAATATATGTGACCACACAGTCCATTTAATTCAGCAATACTACTATATATCAGTTGCAAAACAAGTGATTAACAAACAATGCCTCGTCTACAGCATCATTAGACAGGCGCGGATCCACCATCATGTCTTGGGTTGCCTACTTTCTAGTGATTGAGCTCAGATGAGATGACACAACTTCATTCTCATTTTCCTTCTCCCCTCTCTCTCCTCTCTCCTCATTCTTCCTCCTTTCCCTCTCCTTTCTTTTTTCCTATCCTCTCTCTTTCTTCTTTCCTCTTACCCTCCTTCTTTCCCATTTCCTCATTCTTGTCCCTGCACATTCGACGCATTGGGAGGTCAATGACACCGTTGTACCCCTCTGGATCCGCGCCTGGAGCTAATATATGTGTGTATATGTTCCAAAGCTATAGAAGTTGATTAAAGTCAACTGTAATCGTGAATCCCAAAGGATAAAACACTAAAAAGTTTCTATCAAGAAGAAGAATGCAATGGTATCAGATCAGGCTTGTATAAGGATGCCTCACTGCACAGAGAAGAAATCTATAAGATATTGAGGTTGTCCAATTATTTTGACATCTATCAAGATTCATCCACCAGAACAATGCTACTATCAAACATAGTTACGTATACTCACAGCACAGTTACCACCTCCACGTTTTTCTTTCCACCACTTAATTTTTAAGCCAGTAAGTATGCCCCTTTCTTGCATTTGAAGTACAGCTTTGCTTAAGCCATTCCGGTATGATGAGTCTGAAAGGGAAGCCTAATGTAGTGCATGAGAAACGTAATAGGGGAAGATGGGAGTTTTGTTTTTGCACATTTAGAATAGTCCGTAGCATAAAAAACAACGAGCTTTAAGCTGATAGTATGACTTTTTCCGCCGAAATGGACCTACTGTTCTGATGAAGTTGTCACTAATTCCGAACAGTTGCTATTATAATGTCCATCTTTACACCGTGGTTGAGTTCGCTTTGCAAGTGAAGTGAGATAATCAAACAGACGTCATTCTGTTATTTAAACTGAAATTTGGTAAAACGAACGTGCAATAAACCCAGTGAATTGAAGTGAGGTGAGCTTATCTGAGATGTGTCTGCACTTTAGCTAAGCACACGACCGTGCTATTACGAGCGTTAGTATCGCACCGTTCCAAGAGATCGCGTAGCATGAGGCCATTTAAATTGCGCTCAGAGCTAAATCTTTAGCGCAACACCAATGCTTTGTACCATGGTAATTAATGCTGTTCTAAGTGCTTATAAAGTGCACAGCCTATGGTGTAAATGAACTAGTGCTGCATCAACTTTTCTCCCGTCACTTTGACCAATGGAGTCTGAGAAAGTGGCCAAAAGGAAAGTGTGTGTCATCGACGAAGAATAGTAGACTCCATTTCGTGTAGCGTTTATTATTCATTGATTAAAATCATTGTTAAATAATTGCTGTGACTCTCCACTCGTAGTTTCAACATATTTTCCACATATTTTAGTGAACACTATTTTGACCTTAAGTCTGATTGTGGGCATCAAAAGATGCCCTTCGATTGGAATGTTGCCGTAGGGTTGTTGGAAACGATAATTATAACCTATTCCTGGAAACTGCATTCCAGGCAAGAAAAAAATAGTGGAAAACTCAGAAAGTTAAGACTATTAAGCAACGCGTTGAGCAGATGAATGAGCTGATCGCGTGGCTAACACAGTCACCATAATAACTGAGCATGTCTCTAGAGGTCAAATACCCTGTCGCAAACAAGAGTGACGTCACTGATTCAGATTCGAAGATAAAAGTATGTTCTGTATAGGGTAGCCTAAATATTAAAAATAATAAAAACATTGCAGCGACCCTTTTTCAAGGATTCCTCAACATATTTTTCAAAGTAACTTATAGCGATACAGATTTCTGAAGCCTGTACATTCGCTATACCTTTCTTCATTGCAATAGCGTATCCCTTATCATCTAGTAGACCACCAACTTGGGCCAAGCTACAATGTCTTTCTGTAACGTACTCGATAGTGGTTGATTCCATCAAAAATGCATAGTTTTCCGTTTCTACTTTCCTCACACCCTCTTCATTTGTGTCAACCATTAATTCAGGATGATTAACCATGTAGCTCCATACTTTTTGGTAGATTGATAAATTGGAATCCTATACACGAAACAGATCAGATCAAATTAATACAATTAGTTACCTTACAGATGATCAATTGTGCATTTTCAATAAATAAACTTGGTTAAATTATTTAATATGTGCATCAATAACTACTGAGTTGATACAGTAGCATGAATTCACAATATGTATTATTTATTTCTGTTGGTTTTGAAATCAATATCCCGAAGTATGTAGCGTAATTTCCAGAAACTAACTTATTGACTAAACTTCGCAAGTTGAAATTGTTTTCGACCGATTTTTTTAATTTATTTCACGTATTTATTAAATTTGAGTTAAACATGATTCAAGAAAAATCAGTGACAATATCTCAAGGGCTAGAAGTACATGCTAAGATATCAAGGAAAGTTTCTATAAAGATGGGTCCCAATACGCCATCTTACTTGTATACAGGCCTTTCTGGTTACGATTTTGAAACTTAGAAAAAGTTATATCTCCGAAATGGAAGAATTTGTACGAACAGCACAACCAAAACATAGGGTAGATCGAGGCAAATTGGATCAATGGATGAATCGGTACAAAATAACTGTGTCAACGTGTAATTCAAAATATTAATGGATAGCTTATTTTGATCCGATTCACCCAGTGATCTGATTCGCTTCGGTTAAGCTTGCATAGTTCCGTGACTCAGACTAAACCAATAGGGTCAAAATTACCCCTACAGAAGAAAAACGGAAAATAATTCTACGCCACTGACTTTTTTGAAAGATCTTATTTCCCCCTTGAGTATTTGCCATACCAATATTTTCGTAGTGAAACTAATTCTTATATTGAAAGTAAAAAACGTATAAAAATACAGTTAGTGGAATGATCAATGCCATCTTGTCATAATGTTATGTAGATATAATCATTGATCTATCCCAAGTCATTGTTATTAATGGCATATCAACTAACCACCATGTATTTTGGCATTTGGACCCGACAAGACATAAGAGTAACATGGACTTTAACGTTAATTGTAGGTCTAGTGGTTGCAGAAGTATTGTCATTGTTTTACAGACACTCTGTAAATTATTTATTACTTCACATTTTGATACAGCATCAAAGGCATACCTGTATATTGGTAATTTTAATGCATAGCGAGTTTTTTTTTGGATAGAAAGCAAGCGCAAAGAGTTACTGGCAAGCCCTACAGTGAAGAACCTAATATATCACTAATTGTATTTGATATCCGCTCATTCCATCATTGTTTTCCTCATCAAGATAATACTGATCAGTATGAAATTTCTTAATTTGCATAAAACGTTTCCGACTCAAAAGTGTGATTGGGAACATATAAACATTCTCAGTTTTTCAATGTTTGCGTGAACTTACTCTAAAATAGTTCGCAGTCGCTCCACCCTTCTTAGCACCAAACTTAATTTCATCCTGTGAAGCAAGTTCCTCAATATCTTTAAAAGAAGTTACAAGTGTCTCGACTGTGAGAAAAGCGGCAAGATTAGCCGTATACGATGATACCATGATGAGTACGAATAACCACCAGACTCCTGACGCTGCCCTTGTTGAAATGGATCTAAAAACAAAGTCTTAGGTGAGTTTTTGTCTTTATATTGTTAATATCTCTTCAATCCATAGCGAGTGAGTTATTTCAGATTGAAGAACATTACTGACGTTTCGACTGCACCTCAGAGTACGAAAATGGAAATACAGCTAAAAAGTTATTTTTGTAGCGCAACAGTGGTACATTTAGAGGTACTTGAAAAAAAGAGATAGGTATATTAAAAATAACTAATAAGTGAAGAAGAATTGTTGACTTCGGTTTTTGCTAAAGGTGTAGGCTGTTAGTACGGTCATTGTGGTCTAATCTGGAATTCCAATTGTTGATAACGCTTCCGAGCATTTCGAGCAGTATTTGGCGACTGTTGTCTCACCAAGATAACACACTGTTTGCAGCCTGAAATTCAATCTCATGATAATCAGAACATATGGCTTCGAAACAAGACGACTCGGCGCTTCTTGCAGCACAGTCCGTAAAGGCATGAAGCAGTTAATTTCTTTCCTTTCAGGCTATGCCTATAGGAATATGGAAGCACGATCGCGGAATAAGAAACAAGCTTTGATCGAGTAATTCGTCAAATATCAAAATTCGTGCAATCGAAAATTGGGATTCCAAAACGGACCTCGACACCGCTCAGTGTTGAACTGATGACTGACATTTCACACAGTTATTTACAAAAAATGCTATCGTATGAGGGTCACCTAATATGGAAATCAAATTACATTAATGGTTTAAGCGGTAGACCTCAACAGCCGTTTATGGTCCTTTTGTTTGATACTAAAGGTAATCCAGCACAGCTTGTTTCCATTTTTTACATGTACAGATTACATATCGTCGCCTTCCACACATAGTGTCGTAAGTGACATTTTAGAGATTTTACAGTAGAGCGAAAAAACGAAAATGGGTGTAATGTTTCTTGGTAATACCGAAAAACTATTTGAGAACACTTTTCCATTTTAATACAATGAATAGTATGCTTTTTAAGTAAATCAATTTTGTGTGGAAGTGGTTGCAAAAGTTTTGAGTTTTCCAGATTTTTGAAAAATTTGTCACTTACGGCAGTTTGTGTGACTTTTTTCTTTCTACTTCCTACAGATAGGTCAGTGCGCAATTAAAAGCTTCGAGTAAATTAGATGATATATTTTTTTGAACAATATAAGAATCAACCAGCAATCTGAAAATTATAATACACAAAAAAAACTGTTTTACAAATACAAACAAATGTTCATTTTTTTAAACGGTAAAAGAATAAACTAGAAAACTTAAAAGAATAATACATGGTAACTAAAGCAAAGAAATGCAGTTTTTCAAATGCAAACTAATTTTCGTGTGGCAGATTGTAGTAAATGTTTTGGAATTCGGTAAGTTTTATAACAGGAGTATCCCCTTGAATAGTTTCTGAGCTAGCTCTCTCAGGTCAATGGGTAGGAAGACGGTGTTACTGCGATATCACTTTATTTGCTAAGGTAGAGGCCCATTTACAACTGATAGTGTACAATTCGAAAAAAATAAAATAACGTTCAAACCAAAGTTCGTACGTCCGTCGGGCTGAGCGACGATATTATACGTGCTGCTCCTGCCGAAGCTCATGCCCGTCTCCCCCGCCCCCCAAGCAACTCCACCACAAACCACAACGTCTTACCACAGCCGACGTCAACTGTAGTTGACGTCGGCTGTGGTCTTACCTTACTACCTGCCTTCCGTTGCACTTTGCACCCTGACACGCACTCCCACATGGTCGCGCTGTTGCCGAACCTCTTCACCCTTTACAGAGCGAAGTAGGATCATCCAATATTGTCATCGCTATCTTCCGTGGAGCATTGTTTAAATTATCAACCTTAATATTACCTACTTTACCCTTCAATCGTTGTAGTTTGATAAAGTCATACTTTGAGTCAATGTGGCTATACTTAAATACTTAGAAACATATTCTTAGGTTCTTTTTTTGTCCACCATTAATCCCATAACATCAGTCCAATTTAAGTTTTTACCTTCATTACTTGTGCGAACTGTCAAAATTCGTAACAGTTTAGACAAACTTTTAAAATCCAGTCCATCGGAATGAGTTTGTATGGATTTTTCGTCTCGCTAATTCGATTATAGTGTAAAGTTGGCTGGGAATGAAAAGATCACCAACTTGTGTAATAGCTGAACTTATTGTGCTATGTGCTGAATCTCCTTCACTATGTCCATGATTGGTCTCAAAAAAAACGTAGAGATATGGTTTCTGTTCCCTTGATTTTCTGAACTGCATACATCAGGGCAGCCATAATCGAGTTCTTCATCCATCTGAATATAGAACTACGGATTTTACGCCGTTTGCTGAGTAATACTTGATGCTTTTGAACACACAACTAGATACTACACATACGCCCCATATGTGATTCGAAACTGCACCAATAATTATTTCTCACAAACTGTCGTAAATCAAGTTACGTACTTGTGTGATTTAAAAACGAAATTTTGTTAGATACACCATTTATCTTCTTTGCAGCAGTTCAAAGAAAGTTTTGAGGCGGCGTAACTCAATTTTTGGATTTTTGTTAGTTACGACACTATGTGTGGAAGGCGACGATATGACATCCGATATACTGGCGCTTCAGATACTTTGTTGCTCCAAGGCGACAAAGCTGTTATTCTGAATCGGCCCTTGGGAAAAAATAACTGGTAGAGCCCGCCTGCTATCCCTAACAGGCATTTTTTGTCTAATGTAGCAAAAGTTTATACTTCATAAAAAGCTGCCGTGAAAGCCGAAACGCGAGTATAACTTGAAATTGTATGACACTGTGCTGCAATGTTATTGCACTAAACTAAGCTTATTGAAAATCGTGAAGATTCATACAAACTATGATCTAGATTGAAGTCTGTGTATGGTTCGTTCAAAATTTTCTAGCCTCCCCTTGATATTCGTTTGACATACTCTGTTAATCTCCCACAATCCTTCCTAATAGCCTGTCAAGTTTGCAACAGTCCAGATAGTAATTGTTCATTTCGGAGAAATATTCATGGGGTAACCAGGAAGAGAGAAGAAAATACGCACTGACCCACCCATACATATAGTACAGAAGTGCAGTGCCTTCCTGAACAGATACTTGGCATTACCCACTAACGGCTGCTAGGAACAATTTATGGGGGATTAAGGAGTTCATGATATATTCAACTTCTGAAATTTCTGTCCAAGCTCATACTGCGGATATATCACTTCAATCGCATGAACTTACATGGGCGCCAACTCTGACCCCTGCTGCATCAGCGCACCCATAGTGAACCATAGCGAATTTCTGATAGAGAACTGATTAACAAGAAATTCTGGCTCATCTACACAAGGATAAGGATTCTGCCACTCAGCTGGTGCCAATCTACCCATGACAAAGATACAGAGGGATACGATGAAATAAGACACGCCTAGCATAATCCACACCATCGCTGAGAATGGGGATACAAACATGAAGAGACTTGGCGGTGCCGGCTCTGGCTTCTTGTACAAGATGCTTATGCCTGAAATTAGTAGATTTTTGCAAATAATACAGTTAGAGATCATTTCAGAATATCTTGAGACTACAGAAACTAAACAGCTAATTGCTAATGGTGGCCCATTTATTACACTGAAATGGACATGCCTGCTTTCCGTCTCTGTAACCATGACGAACCACAGACAACGCTGTTTCATGACCTTCAGCAACTCATCAGTTAGATATATGGAAATCGATGAACGGAAAGCATAGAAGTTGATATGGTCGTTTGAAAAGCTCAAAATACCGTGTGGACGTAGGCAAAAATTTGACCACCTTCACCTACCGATGGTTTGCTAAAGTTCTTCATCCTCATCGCGTACGATGCTCATAGCTACACGATACACATCACCAAAACGGTCGAGCCATCTAGCAGCCGGAACAACAAGTAATCACAGGCCAGACTAACAGTGGATTTTTCTGCGTATATTGCAATCATGTCTATTTATGCAGATCATGTAGATATCGTCAGATTTCTCGCCTTCCTCCACACAGTATTTTTTTGTTACCCTCTGTATAACAATGATTGGAATACGGTTTCATGGAAACCCCGATCTTTTAGAAGAAAAAGTATATCTACACCAGTGTGTTATATAAAGAGCGATCTCTCGCAAGAATGGTCTAGCTTAAATACCGTTTTGATAGTCAAAATTGATAGAAAGACAAGTGAAGCCAGACTGATTCCTTGATATGACTCATTTTTCAATATCTAGCAAGATCACTCATTGCTATATAATATACAGGGTGTCCCATAAGTAATGAGCAGATTCCTTTCAAAGAAATATTGAGGCTAGTTAAATTATCTTAGTCCGAAAGTCAAAGGCAACCAAGATACAGGGTGATAAACTTATTGCAATTTTTGGGCATAGTTTTACTGTAGCCGCTAGAGGGCGCTCTCTACTGTACCTGTAGTGTATTAAAATGACCGAAAATTTTTTCTTAGTACAATTTTTTGCTTTTTGAATAAAAAAACTGATTCTTCGTACTTTTCAACATAAAAAAGCTCTCCTGTGAGTTTTCGTTATAGTTAGCCGTTTTTGAGATATTTCGATTTTTAAGGTTCGATGCATTTTTAATTAATTATGGGAAAATAAGAATTTTTTTTACATTTTCGATTTGGGCATTACAAGTAATTAAGATGATCGCTTAGATTGTGTTTTTAAACACAGCAATAATCCCTAACTCAAAATAAATACAAAAAAACAGAATATTAATTTGTTCAATTTTCCAATATTATGTTTAACAAATTAAATTAATTATTTACAACTAAAATGCTATTGGATAGTTAGGACAAACATACAAAATCTAAAGTAGTTGCTCGAAATGTAAACCCAATTGTTCAATACACAATTCACATCTACGAATGATCGAACGTGGTATAGCATTATTCAAATAAGGCCTTATTTCATAACATGGATTCCTGATTCTGTCTATTAGCATATCTCTTGTGGTTACGGGAATCTGGTACACTTTTTCTTTTAGAAATCCCCACAAAAAGAAATCTAATGGATTTAGGTCAGGGGATCGTGGAGGCCAGGCGACTGGTCCTCCACGGCCGATCCATCTTTCTGGATAATTTTTGTCCAGCCAGTTTCTAACTATTCTCGAATAATGAGCTGGACAACCATCAAGCTGGAACCAGGCCAATCTTCTTAAATCTAACATAACATCATCCCACATATTTGCATGTTCAGCCTTTAAAAATTCCAAGAAGGCCGCAGCATTTAACCTTGCAGGCAAAAGGTAGGGTCCAAATAGTCAATTACGGTAGATACCAATCCACACTTTCACACTAAATTCATGTTGAAAATTTCTTTCCCGAACTGCATGCGGATTTTTATGCGACCAAATGTCTTGATTATGAAAATTTGCCACTCCACGTCTAGTGAAGCATGACTCATCGGTCCATAAAACGTTACTTACAAACTCCCTATTATTATCAGTTCTATCAAGAATCTACTGACAAAATGTGATTCTTCGTTATCCGACCCCTGGCTGTAGTCCTTGCACAGGTTGCAAATTGTAAGGACGTCTATGGTCATTTCTCAGAACACGGTAAACATGGATTGGTGAAATTCCCAAGGCACCAGAAACTCTCCTAACACTTGTGGTCGGATCTCTATCAAACTCACGCAGAATCATACTGGTAAATCTGCGCTGACAAACATTTATGTTTTGATCCCTTTGGAGATTTCCAAAACCATTTTCAATTATTTGGCGATGCACTCTTACAAATAATGAGCGAGTTGGATGTCGTCTGTTTGGAAATCTTCGTGCGTATTCTCTGGCTGCTTCTGCTGCGTATCCATTTACAAAGCCATACACAAAATCTAACAATCCGCTAACTCTTGATTGGAGAATAAAAATGGCATTTTTATAAAACTTACAAAAAAAACCGCTGAAAGAAACTAAATTTCTTGCATTCACCATTTCTTTCATTTTCAAAAATATTTGCAGGCACAGCCTACTTCTAAAAATTATCGAGACACTGACTTTTTAACATTGTTTTATCATAAATAATAAAAAATGCATCGAACCTTAAAAATCGAAATATCTCAAAAACGGCTAACTATAACGAAAATTCACAAGAGAGCTTTTTTATGTTGAAAAGTGCGAATAATCAGTTTATTTATTCAAAAAGCAAAAAATTGCACTAAGAAAAAATTTTAATTTTATTTTAATTTTAATACACTACAGGTACAGTAGAGAGCGCCCTCTAGCGGCTACAGTAAAACTATGCCCATGGTTCGTTTTGTCGTAGGTACCAAAAAACCCTTGTATACCAATTTTCACTGTTATACATCAAATATTGTACGAAATATTTAAAAAAAACTATTTTAGAAAGTACATTTAAATACCCTGTATTTCGGAAGCCACGCATTTTTGACTTTATGCATTAATTTTAAAAGTTCTATCGAATCTTAAAGTTATGCAACAATAAACTGAAACACCCTGTATATAGCAAATCTAAAAATTGACCTTTTTCAAATTATGGCGCCAACAGCAACATTTTCTATTCTTGTAAACTTCGTGTCTGCTATCCAGTTAAAATTAGCGTCAAGATATGCTCTCACTGGTCTAGCAAAGTGCGCAGGAGCACAATCTTGCGCAAAACCATATCTCGGCCCAGATTTAAAGGTAGTTCTTCTAAATAATCAATGAGTTTTGTTTTAAAAGTTGAAATATAATTCTCCGTTTGGATTTGAAGGTATGTAACTCATATGAGTCGTATGGACAAAAAAAAATTCTCTAATATACCACACTAAATATTAATTTTAAATTCGTGTTGTGTGTATTTCAGTAAAGAGATTAGGATTTGCAATATCATATGACTGCATGTCTCTAAAATTAAAAGTAAAAGTCGCTTCATCCGTAAACATAATTTTATTTATAAATGAGGGATCTTGATTTTGTTGAGCCTGGAAATAGAGGACGAAATCTAGTCTTGCTGGAAGATCTGCAGGCGTAAAATGATATAGATAAAGATGTTCGCGATGAAAAATTCTCAAAACCACTGAGTAACTAGTTCCAGTTCTTGCTGCCTTACACTTATTTCTGCATCTTCAGCAACCTGGATTAACACTCCTGCTTCTTGATCCACATTATGTCTATTTGGACGTCCAACATCCCTCTTTGGCCTGAATAAACCAGTTTCCCCAAGTCTCTGGTAAACGTTTTGAAAAAGTTTATAATCTGGATGTCTCCTACTTGGATACACTTGCGCGTAACGTCGACAAGGTCTTAAACCACTGTCATTTTTTTAGGAATATACGTAAACTATATCTGGCATTTCCGAGTTAGAAAATAATTCATGTCTAGGCAGTTTAAACTAAAGCGATAAATACACAATGAACACTGGAACTAATACTAAAAGTACGCAATAAAAGGCAATAGATTTCGGCACTAAACGTGTGAGTTTGACAAGAACGTAAACCGTGACGGTGACAGTGACGTTTAAAATTCATTTCGTCAGGCTCAGCCTACTTAAAAAATATTTTAACTTTAAAATTTTATCTTAAGTGCATTGAAAACTTTAAATGTAAATATCTTGAAAAGGGAGAATCATAGCGAAATTTTTGAAGTATACCTTTTTTAAGCAAACATGATTGCACAATGCATATTTTAAATAAAAAATTAAATTATACCAAGCGTAAAAAAGTTACGAAGTTTAAAGAACATAAAATGTTGCTGGCGGCGCACTCTCTAAGATAATATAGAAAAAGTACAATTTTTAGATTTGTCATATAAAAAACCCTCATATGCCAAATTTCGTTAAAAGCGAAGAATACATGCTAAATTTATGGCCAAAATTCAAAAACATGACAATAAGTTTATCACCCTGTATCTTGGTTGCCTTTGACTTTCGGACTAAGAAAATATAACTTAATCTCAATATTTCTTTAAAAGGAATCTGCTGTTAAGCTATTTACCATTACTTATGGGACACCCTGTATAAAAATACTATGTCATTATTACACAGGGTGCGATCAAAGCTAAACATGAATAAACGTATGCTGAATAAGTAATTGAATTAACCTCTTGACAAATTCCATCCATGAGTTAGACTGGGCTTTAAAATTTGTGACTTGTTGCTATAGAACGCTTGAAGGCTTCTCATATACTAGATTCGGTTCCCAAAGTTCACAGGTTTTAAATTTGATTCAGTTCTGTATGACGATATTGATAATACTATTGTGTGAGTAGTACAACGTTAATCTAAGTTGACACTTGATGATTGATTTGATGTTCTACTTTAGTAGAGTATGAGTGTACAATTGTTACCTAAGTTCATAAAAGGCATCGTGAAATCCACAGCAGTTTCTCTTTCAGACGTTACAGTTAGATCCGTTATGGCTAGATCAGCTCGCTGAAAATGGTTATCATACCTATAAATCCAATCAAGGTTATTAGCATTAAAAGTTGTCCTTAAGTAAATCATAAGCACATGGTAGCAGGTTAGGTACTTGATATCATTCGTTTATTTGTTTTAAGAAGGAAATATGCAATATTCTCTATATACTGAATATTTCTTGGTTTTATTAACTCCCTCAAAGTTTCACACCCACTAATTTTAGAATATGTATACCCATAAATAACATAACTGTGTGTTCTGTTCGTAGCGTTGGTGTAGTTCGTGTTAAAGTGACACAAAGTTAATAATTCTGTACTCTATTGACGCCTGTCTTGCGGATTACAAACTAAAGTAGTGTTGGTGCAAGTTTAGATCAGCAAGAGTTTAGTCAGAAAAAAAAAACGGTATAATAAGTAAAAGCAAACTTCATAACCTTTTTGTATTTTTCTGAGGAACACTCGTCCTTTATTTTCAGAATGAATTTTTATTTATTCCAATGAAAATTTCGTAAGACAACGTAAATCAGGAACTTGTTATTATTTTCACATGGGATCACAAAAATGGTTTGGTTATAATATAACCCTCTCAAATTATAAAAAAAAGGAATTCAGACAGATCCCTTTGCGAGAGAAGCACTGAGCCTTACCCCCTCCATAACTTCTCGAATCATTCCGTTCCATAGGCCAGTAGTGAGATTGAAAACGCCATTTACACCATCCTCCTGGATCACAAAGGTGTAGTTGAAACCTAGTATATGCGACAGTTCCCTGATAACGTCTATGCAGAAACCTTCAAAACGGTCATTACCCACCAATTGAGTGGTTGTTTCGGTTAGCATTCCGTAAGGTTGACTCTAATAAAACAATAGAAAATAATCCTAACATAAGAAATTGCACCTCGCATATCAAATAACTAGTGTATCTATTTCTACAAACCGATTTTTTACCATTTATTTACCATTTCTAACTGAAGCTAACCTAGTACTGTATTGCTTTGCCCAAAAAATGTTGGAGATGAAATGAAATACTGTAGGGCTATCTATAAGATTTTGTTGCAGCTTTGCTTTTCCTTTCCGCCCTGATTAGAAATTTACTTCGAAACGGTCAGTGTCTCATAGATGGCGCTGTAGCAAATTACGTATTAATATAGTAGGCTATACGCTCATTTGGGGGCATAGTGGACAATGTGTATATACGTATACTTATCCAAAGAAGGTGATTGTGGATGTCTTAAACAAGGCAAAATGGAAACCTTGATGACAGATGGTATCAAATAGTGAACTTTCAAGCATATTCTTACAATTGTGATTATAACGGTGAGAGTCCTATTAAAGATGTTTTCGACACCACTTCTTGTAGATGTCTTTTCTGGTCTGTAAATATTCAGAGATCTTCGTAAAGAATTCCATTGACCGACAGTGATCAGACCTCCCAAAGAAAGCTCCATGATGTCTATGTTAAAGTCACTCCGAAAACCTTCGGTGTCGAATCTTATGAGCCCTGTAAGGCCTTTGACAGATTTCTGAAAGTGAATGACAGGAATATACTTATGATTTTTCAACAATTTCCTTGTACCATAATGACGAGCATTTGTGCGTGTCTGTTTTTAGCATTTTTGGCTCATCGTAAACTAGGTCGTATCATCGACTCTGATTTGTGAAGTGCCATAACAACTCTGTCATAATTTGGAGACGTCTATAATGACGGTTTAAAACAAACTATTCTCGAACTCGTCATTTGTTTCAATGTTGTTCTTAAATTTCTCAAAATTTAATGGTGTTCCAGGGGGATCAGCTCTGAAATGTTATGGATGTTTTTTTGAGTTGTATATCTTCGATCGAATTAACTTTCCTTAATTCTAAAATACTTTCTAGTTATATTTTCAGCAATTGTTTATCCAATCTACAGGTCTTCAGAGTGAAAAAAAAATGTTTGAGGCTGATACATGTGCAGGTTGATCAAACACATGAGTGCCGTTACGCTCGATTCTATTTAACTGCACAAGTAGTGGAATGTCTCAGAGCAGCACGCAAAGTTTTCGTTACTTACGGTTTTCATGGAATTGGTGATAGTATATCCCTCATTCCAACTACTATCCTCATGGCAGGACAACGGAGTAGCAGTGATGGATTTCTTCTTATCAATGGTTAGGTCATACAACGTTTCATAGAACAGTTGGACTGCATCAGCGATTAGAGCTGTTTCATATCTCATTTTCCAAGAAGGAAATAGTACCTCATCCTCGGTGTTGACCTCACGACTTTTCCGAAACTTATAGATTGATTCTGCCAGTTGCATTACTTCGGTATCTTCAGGGTCTATGATTCTTCCCTATCACAAATAAAGCTCACAATGTATCACAACGTACGCTGATCCCATGGGTTCCGTCTTTTTGACTTAGTCGAAGTCGATTCTAAAGGACCGAATAATTTCAAAAATTGAAACTTGAAAATGTTATATTTAGTCTCCACAGTATCACCACTAAGCTTCACGCATACATGATTTAGCTAGTTAAGTTAGTTGTCCCTGAGTTTCAATTCTGATAGTAAGTGAACAATCGGTTATAGAATATGATAGCATCTATCAGGATTATCTCTGGGAAACTGACTGGAATAGGTTATATTCGCTGGGTTAATGCTACAGCTGATCCCGCTTCAACCGAGACTGTCACCTAATTGAAGTTAATCAATACTCAACTCCTGAAAGGCGCTTATGACTGACGTTATGCTAGAACAGTAGAGTGAAGCTTTGGTTGAGGTTGTATATGAAACTAGAAAAGGATTTGCACAGATAGCTAGTGCTCACCATTTCCCTTAATTTTTTCTCTTTGGGAATGCCTAGCAAATTTAAGATTGACTTCTGCCTCAGCAGTGTTTAAAAAATGCAGCTAAATTCTGCAAGCCTAGCGTTGAATAAGGCGCCAACATGGATTGAGTCTCTATGTAGTTTTTGTAAGTCTACTTTGAGCATTTTAATTACTTCTGTGTGATTATGACCTTCAGGTTCCTATAATTTTTATTATAAACGTCAAAAAAACCTCTAAAATGTCCTCTTGCAGACCAGATAGTTTTGAGGGTGCAAACAGTCATTCAACGCTTGCTCACTAGGATCGTTGTAAACGTCCATCTATGTAGGAATGGCTCAACTACACGCATTGTTGGTTGCATCTGTTTTGTAAAGCCGAGTAGATTATAGTTTTCATCTCTGAGAAAAAAGTTGTTCGAGTAGCAAGATCGCATCTGGATGAATGTGTGTGTATAAAATGTGACCTACATGTGTATAAAATCAGTGATAATTACTGTGTGAGAAAATCATTACTGAATATGCTGCCAAAGAAGTATATCTATTAGCTATGCCCGACGGGTTATTCATATGTTGGCCTTTCTGAATCCAGGTTATGTTCAAAGTTATAAATTACGATTTCTTACGTTTTTTTTTGTGTTTTCAAAAACTTCGAGGAGAATTACGTGAAATTACTACCGCGGCCGCATTGTGTGTAATTACTGTTAAAATGTATATGACTTGCAATTCGACAGTGTTCAGTGAATATAATTATTTCTTATCTCTCTTATTTTTGAAATTCAGAAAATTTGCATAAATGTAATTTCCAGAATGGACAAGAAAAAGTGGATGCGCAACTAATTTCTAGCTTTGAATCTCAAGTAAGTGTATTTGAGACAAGAATAAAATGGAATTATCATCAACACATATTATTCGCACACAAATCGTCAGAATGCATCTTTGCATTGGCGTTACCTCCAGTAACGGCATCTCTGAAGCAGATTTCACATTACATCAGTGTCAAACATTGATAACTGAAGCCTTATGACGTTTAGACAATACGTGCAAATACAAAACGAGTTCACAACCTGTCCATCAGCTAGTGCTAAGTTAACATCTTGTAGAAAAGCTACATAATGTCACAAAAAAAACAATATAATAAAAAAAAATAGACATTATCACTTTTCAAGATACGTAATATACGTTACGGTCATTTAGGAACGTTCGGCTATCTTTTCGATCCATTTCACCTCTCACTTTGCCAAATTGTATTTATCTTTATACAATTGCAACAGTAGGTACTTGCTGTTCACCAAATTCCTCTTAAAGCTTGATAAATTCGGCGAGGCTCACATTTTCAGGTTCAGAATTTAGGCAACTGGAGCTGGCCAAAAGCGAGATCCACAGGAACCAGAGCGTTTTAGTAGCTGACAATGACAGTTCAAGAAGATGATCAGAACTAGAGACAAATCAAATATGAAAATTGCTTAACTGTAAAATGTCGTTGAAGGACTAAAGCAACAATTAGAATCCATCGTGCCCAAAAATTTTGTGTGAAGGCACACAGTGAAGCTAAAAAGCCACGAGGCTGTAAAACAGGAAGGTCTAGGTGCAGCACAGGGGAAACTGAAGAGCTAGCTAGACAAAATGGACATTACAGAACGATATAAGGTATTGATTAACGAACTGGAAAACACAATAGAGGCTGATGGTTATTAGTTAAAGAGAAAGTCGCAAATGTTAGAAGACTATGAGGAAGTTCTTACCGGCTAAGAAGCCAAAGATAACTGGAAAATGAAAGACAATAGGAACTCATTAAATGCTAGTTGCAAGATACACTAACAAGGAACTATAGAAGAAAAACAAAATAGAAAAGCTAAGGTTACAAAAAGAAGTATCTAAGAGCAATTGAAGGCTGCTAAAGAAGAAAGAGGCCGATTCGAATATGGACCAATTTGAAGGTCAGAATCAGACTGAAGCAGTCAGAATGCTTAAAGAACAGCAAATCCTAAAAAATTATGTAGCTGATTCAACCTAGGTTTGCATCATGGTTATCGCTAGGTTGGAAAAATTTGCAGCATTTTTTAATTAACCGCTGATGTAGAAGTTAGTTTTACACTTCCTAGGTGTTTGCAAAGAGAAGAAATTCAAAAAAGACATCAGTACTAGCTTGAATATGTTCAAATCCGTTCCTAGTTTCATATACAACCCTGAGTAAAGCTTAGTTCAACTGTCTAAAATAACCTCATTGCTCAACGGATCTGCCTGGTAGGAGGTGAGTACTGATCATGCAGGTAACATTATCAGTCAGTGACACTCAGGTTCTGATACCCGAGTTGAGTCAACAGATCATCGACTTACTATCAGAGTTGAAACTTAGAGATAACTAACTCGACAAGCTGAATCATACATGTGTGACGATTAATGTTAAGAGTACAAGGACTAAGGATGACAATTAAAATTTCGATTTCTGGCACTTGTTCGTAAGTCCATCCAACTTCCGATTTGTGGAAAGGGTCCGATGTATATCGTGTCAGTGAGAATCTCACTTTTTGTCTGAACCCGATTTCTAGAGCTAGAGCAGGGCTTAATAACACAATGTTTGACCACGGGTATATTTGAAGCCTGACGGATTGTTCAACATACATACGAGTATGTGTGTGTCATGTGAACCTTTAACGGAGAAAAAAGGGCATACCTATTTGAAAAGAAACACTGGGATTTGTTAGGATTTCCATACTCGCTTAAATCGCAATCCATTACCAAGACAAACAATAAACAGCAGTTTCTGTGGTTATATTCCAACGTCGGCTATACTGTAACTGTCTAAATCTGTAATGACTCATACGCGTGATCAGAGCCTGACTGCGCCGGGCGACGGAACGGCTGTCGAGAGGCGTGAGGCTAGAGTAGGGTGGTATTCTAAACTCTGAGTGTTCGATTTACACATTCTAAATAATACCCATTTTAGTCAAGTAACAATATATCCCACAATCATCTTGACAAGCTTTGAGATATTAGAATACAAGTATGTTAATAAACAAAAATTGGGAAAATATGGGCCTACCGTTTTGATTCATTTCTTTATTACAATTTTAAATTTTATATTATACTCACAAGATCTCATTCATTTGTTATAATAATCTTGAGTAGAACGGATAATGAATTTTTGGGCTTGTCTTAAGGAGAAAGTTTCCATTTAGCGATCTGCTCGAATAAATAAAATATTTAAAAATCACGATCGTGCTACTTTAACTGCGTACGCTGCTTGAATGGTGGATCATCCATCAATGCTACTACTACGAAAATAAGAGTCTTCACAAGAATTAAAAAATCCGCGGGAGCATTTAGCGATTCTTATAAACAAGCCACAAAGATGGTTTTTATGAGAAAATAGTCATTCTCAGTCGTCCTCTGGTTGCCTTATCAGGTCCTTGCCTGTTTCGGAACGGATGTCAAATGGATTGGTTTGGTCAAGCGCTTGAGCTTTGGACTTGCATTCCACCCCGCTCGGGTGATTTTATTTTTTTTCCTTCAAGTAAGTTGGTCCGATCGCCATGGGACACGAAATACGGTGAAAATTTGCCAAGTTATACTTATTATCCCGAGAAAATTATTGTCGGCTTTATTTGCTAGCTCAATGTGTATTTTGCACTACGATTCAGCTATTTAACAATGAACGAATAGCTGATGCCGCGCGGCATCCTGTTTGCTTGTAACATTATTGACTATCATGCAGGCGGAGCAGTGGGCTTATTCTAAGAAGTTTGCATTTTTGGGAAATATCTCATTTGCATTAATATTTTATATTTATACAACTGATGAGTTGGCCTAAAAGAAAGAAAGAATGAAAACTGATTCCGGTCCTGAGATAAGATGATACCTAAACGCTTCCACGCTGAACAGAAGAAAACTGGAGCTGCTGCTGATCCAAAGTACCCTTTGAAGGAACGTAAGGCCATCAAACTAAATGGCGGCAGCAAAATGGCATTAAGACGAACCGTACATTCATTCTTTATTAGGAATGAGATACCAACCCTTAAGGCTATACATGCAAAGATCAAGAGTAATGTCATTATACCCCCAATGAACGTCGCAGTATTAAGGAATATCTTACACGCACTTAACTTCCGTTACGAAACGCGTAATCGGAAGGCATGATTAATAGAGAAATTTGAAATAGTTGCGTGGCGTCGAAAACACCTACGCGCAATAACTTAATATAGACGACAGAACAGAATATCAGAAACATATATTATTTGGATGAGACGTGGGTAAATGCATGTCACCCAGTTAAACAAACCTGGATAGACAAAAATGTACTAAGTAATCAACAAGCAAGCATTGAAGGTTTGTCAACAGGTCTTCGTGCACCGTAAAGGGAAAGGGCAAAGATTGATTTTTATACATATTGGCAGCGATAGTGGCTTTCTAGAAGGATGCAACTTGACTTTCGTCTCTAAGAAAGGAGGTGATTACCATGACGAAATGAATGCCAGCTGCTTCGAGAGCTGGTTCTAACTCTGTGATCGTCATGGATAATGGTTGCTACCACAGTCGTCGAGCGGAACCTGTACCACATATGGGGAATCGAAAAAGTGAGATACAGCAATGGTTGCGCGAACGGGCATTCCGTTTGACAATTCATGTGTGAAAGCGGAACTGTCAGAAACAATTAAACATCACAAACCTGCGAACATTAGTTACGTGATTGATGAGATGGTCCGTCATTGTGGTGTCACTGTGATGCGTTTACCGCCCTACCATTGTGAACTGAACCCATCTAGACTCAAGTGAAAGGTTATATTGCGCGTCATAACACATCTTTTAAATTACCAGACGTCAAGGCTCTACTAGAGAATTCCATACAGCTAGTATCGCCTGGAGCGTGGCAGAATGCTGTCCGTCATGTTACGAAGGAAGAAACAAAAATGTGACAGCATGACCACAACATCGACACCATTATGGAGCCAGTTATAGCCAATCTTGGCGAAGAAAGTGATAGCGACAGATTACTACTTTCAGATGGATGTGGAAGCTACGACGAATGAAGAGTGGTAGATTCAATTAGCTCATCTCCAAGTTTCTGATCTACCTATAATGTCTTTCAAACCATTTTCTTTTTTATTAAACATATAAAAGAAATCAAGTTCACCCACATTAAAAATTCATACCCCGCCACTGACAACCCGACTACCGGTGTTCACGTGAACACTGATCAGTCATTACAATTTTAGATAGTTATGGTATAGAGTACTGAGAACATTGATGCCGTAGGTGAAGACATTTGAACAACATAAGAGATACCTGTAAATTCTTAAAATATTTCGTGCACTAGTGAATGCGCCTAATTCTGATGCAGGTTTCATCATCAATTGGAGAACTTTCTAGTGACAATGCATGTAGAAGAATTTAGAGAAAATATACTTATATACATACCAAAGTAATATTGGTTCCAGCATATTGATACGGTGATAAGTCTAAGGTCTGTACATCAAGGTTTGTGATGATGTAGCTATATATATCAGTCATCATGCCCACCTGCTGCAGCTGCTTGAGAACTTCTTCCATTACGTCCATAGAGCAAGCTAGCACAAACTCAGTGTTACCTGTGGCCTTAATGGTAGTTAGTGCAGGTCTGAAGTTGCCACTGTCTTGGGTTTCAAGTTGCTTTATTACTGTAATGATGTGTCGGATTTGAGTATACTTTAATGAGAAAAAAGGATCGTTGTAGATTATTATGTATGTGAATGTGTATCAAACACAAACTTTTGATGCAGAATCGCTACATGCTATGATCAAATATTTTTTGTAGTATTTCTTTTAGATTGTTTGATATATGCTCGTTGGTATTTTATTTTGTTTCACCAAATGCTTAACGAAGTTGAAGTTGACGTATAAAGGTGGTGATGGAAGCACCCTTAACACACCACGCTCACAGCGCCTTTGACTTCCTTGATGCTGCCACCAAGGAGTACCCTTAAGGTAAGATTACATATTGGGCGCCGCCGTCATACAAAACTTCATCCTCAAAAATATGCCTACATATATAACAAAAATCAAGTGCGCTATCCACTTCAACGTGTAACTGAACCTAAAAGGAAGATCCCCCATTTGAAGATAGATTCTGATGAACTGCACAGCTTTGCTAGTTTCCGACTGAATTACTGGATGTTAATTGCAACACCAGATATGAGTAAATTTATTTGTTGTTGCTACAGAACTAAATCAATCGATAATTTCTTCCTGTTACATACCTCTGCTTCCTCCTTGTAGATATTATCAGACTCTTAACAAATACAGTTTGGGGAGGTTCTTGAAATACTCCCTTTCTAGACTTAGTGTAGACTACGAATATTTTGTACTATCAGCGTTCCTAAATATATAACTGAAGTGAAAAACCTCAAATTTATATTACCTACAACCTTTTCTTTCTTATTGAGTCCAAGGATGGTGCTGACCCCTAATAAGCTTTCATCATTGTCATAAATTATGACTACCTTCTGCCAACGGTAGGCTTCCACTAGGTCCAGGAACAGGTTTGACAAACTCCTTGGATGAGGGTGAAGGTTCACTAAACTGTCATTTCTTCTAATGTTGAAGTTACAATGAGTTTCAACATGAGGAATTTCCTTTGCATCGCATATTGATTGCACGTATGCCGATGAAAACTCGGAGCTAGGTCCAAATAGTCCTGGAATCATTAGAGTGGTTGGCCTTAGATACTAAAATTAGCAGAGCCTCCAAGCTGTCGATTTTTGAAAAGCTGTAATATAGTAGTAAATAGATAGATAGTGAGTAAAGATTTACCCGCGACTCCATCTCTAAGCAGATTACAAGTAGTAGAATATGCTTTAAGTGCATGCTGGTATGCTATGATATGAGTAAATGGTACCAGTTCTATCTCTGACCAGGGGTACTTATTGTTTGCTGAAAATGCCGCTATTTCAAATGCAATGCCATGATCTACATTGCTGAAGATTCCTCCTGAAAATGATGCAGTATAGTAAAGATATATTATAATTACTAAGTCACTATGATAGTATAAGATAAACATTTTCCAGTTTAGCAATAAGATGAAAGTATATAGGTATACATTTAAGGTAAACGCGAAAGTACGAGTAGATGAGTCTTCTTATGTTAGAGTCCTTGATTTTTGCCATTGTTTCACTTAGCAAGAGGTAGTAAATACAATAAAAAGGAATGAAATAGATCCATTTTTGTCTAAATCTTTTATTGAAAGTAATTATGCATGAAAAAGGATTACTATCAAATAAATCCCTGCTCCTGGAAGCCGCGCTTACCTCAGCCCTTTTCATTACGTTCTCCCTCGCTTTCTGTTAGGTTTAAGGTTAATTTTTTGAATTTTATGGGGCCTGGTAACTTAACCTGCATTAGGCTATGGTATCTGGTCCCCAACGTTATCAGATTTCACCTCCCTAGACGTTGATCTAGTAATGAGGTTTATGCCAAGAAACCAAGCACTATATGCTGAAATGCAATAATTAGTCGTCCCGAAACCGACCAAAAGGTGATGGAAAACGTACTAAAAAATGCTCGCCGATGTTCTCGTTTTTCAAATTGCAAAGCGTTCCCAAATCGTTCAGCCATTATGATGTCATTTGCACTCATGTGCCTCCAAAAATATGGTATTCACATCTTGCTTAGCATTTTTGGAAATCGGTTATCATATTCAAGACGAGTATGGAGTGTTTATTGCTTTACTTATCATTGTCTGTCTAGGTTCTTATTTATATCTAGGGTGTTGGATGTTGTTGATACGTTATTGAGTTAGTTTTTGTATAGTCAAGTCCACAGTACATAATGGCATACCAGTTTAGTGGCATTAATTTAATCGAAAATACTGAAAACTTGGAGAGGCATAGATTTGTGCAGTATCGTACTGGTGAATACTGAAAAGTATGGTAACAAATACGGAAACAAACACAACACAATACTATTCAGCCCGTCACTTGTCATACATAACCACAAACATTTAACGCAAGATTAAGAAAATCAAAACTATTTCACTTCATTCTTAAGACGGATAAACAATTATCCATAAATCTATGCATATTGAACTACCTTGCATACCAGGTCGGTGCTATTTGTTGACATACATACATCATAGCGATGGTGTTGAGTATTAGTGCAAAGCTGAATACTACATACAGGCAAACATGTCTCTCTGTCATTCAAATCAATATAAGTAACAATACTCTTATAATAAAGCTACACATACCAACTTTGTAAATTTGCTTCTGTCGGTCACTTTCGCCCTTCAAAAGATTAATAAGCACAAAGCTGATAATCAAACTAACTTTAAAGTACATTATGTCAAAACAATTAGAAAAACAAACTAAAACCTATTTTATTTAATCATTTTGAGTCTCTAGTCCGTGCTTCTGTACACAGATGCAGTGCTGAGCGTATTACACTTCTATTTTCTATTTTTGAATCCAAAGGCTGTAAAATCTCATTCTAAATTTATCGAGTGCGTAATGCCTAAAGGTGTTATTTTAGAAATCTCAGTTGGAAAATTACAAAAGGTGGAGACGAGTTGTCTCGCGCAAAATCACTCAAAATATTGTACTGTTTGCAAAATGGAAGTACCAAATTCAAAGAGGTTAAAAAAACTCAAAAACCTCAAAGTTGCTTAGTTATTGTCAAGCTTGCCATGATACAGGTGTTTTGTATACCGTGACACAAAAGTCCCGGAACGGCTCTTCATTTTCTCGGGTAAGGCATTTTTGGGAAAGATCAAGGTCACGTATTCAGTAAATTTCTGCAAGGAATTCAACGGTGGCCTTCCAACTAACAATTATCTCTCCTATTAGAGTTGCAAGAACGACACTGCAGTCTTCCTTACACAGCATTGTATGCTGTAAGGACATTGGCAAAACGATCTTAGAACAGCTATACAAGCGAAATGGGCACTCCTAATAGGACACTTCAGTCATTTAAGAGGTTGTATAAGGGCTGCAGGTAACAGTTATACAACAAAAGTGTAAGCCTCTTGCAGCCGCTATAGAACATTTGCGTCCGTGCAAGATTCAGTTTTTGTCAACTATACAACTATTCTGTTACATGATTCTACTTAATTGCAACCAAACTATTTCTCTTGTATTGTATAGGCGATAACTAACACATTACAGTCATCTTGATTACTTACTACATATCGGCCATTGTGAATTTCATACACAGGTATACGATAAACTTCTACACGGTGATATAGGGCTATTGAATTACTTGCGCAGCAAATTTTATTGTGATTATCGTGCAAAGTAGTTACGCAATTTGTTCGGGCTTCATATTTGATTCATATTTCAATAATGATCAAAAGTATGTTCAGATAAACTGAACTTATCTGCGTTAAATCTTCCACAAATCCTATATTTAGGCACAATTACACTAATGTTTATCACTTTATATCTGTAATGTTGAACTGAAACATTCAATAGAGGAATATATTTTTGCCCAATATGGTGGGTGGTTATGTATAATCATGACATCGTTCATGTTGTCTTTGATTTATTAGAATATTTTGGTGTTATCTGCAAGTGTTATACAACAATTTGACAAAGTTCTAAAATGAAATACGAACAGAGTCGAATGATTTACTCAGAGTTTCTACCAGATCTATATCTCCTGTTTGAACAGTTGATAAGACCTTTTGAACCAATATGCATGTCTTAAAATATTGGTTATGGCATTTTAACTAAAAAGATGACAACATAAAGTTAGGTTATGATGAAGTTGTATACCAGCATATTTAGCAACAAATGTCTGCCGAGCACAGCAATTTTGTACTATAAAAGTTGTAATATTGTTGCAGATGTACAGCCTTTAACAGTTACTAAACGACAGTTGTATAAGTGCTTCCGTTGGGAGAAATTTGTTGCCTAAAGTAGTAAATGTGCACCCCAAAACAACAAGGCTCGGGTTTGTTGTATAAACGTTACCATGGATGTCACAACACAACTTTTTTCACTACTGCGCAAATATGCCATATAAAATAGTTGTATAAACGTTTATGCAACCGTTCAAAATTTGTCCTATAAGGTGATGTATAACTATGCTATAAGAATATTTGAAACACCTCATTTTAGAGAAATATGCTGCAGAAAGCAAATTTGTATTCCACACAACATTTTGGTGTTCAGGCAACAACAATAGATAGCTTTTACGGGTGAACAGTTCTTTTACCAAAAGCTTATAGCACAACTTTGCTAGTTGGCTTGAATTTGGCCTTGACCTTCAAGGTTAATTAATTGTCAACTAGAATCTCCTATGTTTGATGCCGGTAATCGAAAGAACATGCTACTAAAGTTCAAATGAAGATCAAATGTGCGCTGGCAGGCATATTAATCTCACAGGTCTAGTGATGAAAATAATTATCAAGGTCAGGTCTGTAGTAAATTTTCGAGGTTTTTTTTCAAATAGAAACCCTCAGCAACAGTATCGGTTAAAAATCATTTTTAACGAGCACCGTAGTTCACTCGTTAAAAATGAAAAACCCAAAGATCTGACTTTGCCAGTTGTTTTCGTCACTATTTGTGTGAGATTTCTAGAAGCTTTCTTAGCAGCTTACATTTGGCATTTATATTACCTCTTGTGGTGATGTTGACCTTGAATTCTAATACACATTTGAAAATAAAATTTCTGACTCTCTGGAATGTCAGCATCAAATAGGCATTTCTATTTGGAAAAGTAGAGTCGATCTTAATGGTGAGGTTCAAGATCAGATCCAAGATCAACGCTACTTGTGAAAATTTACTAATGACATGATCTTATGCATTTCCGTCACGATCTCTGCGAGATTTCTAAGTGTTTTCATAGCAGCACACCTTTGATCTTTATTTAACCTATTTGACCTTCAGCGGTCATCTTGTTCTTCAATTTTATTGCATATTTGAATGTAAAATTTCCCGCTCTTTCGATTGCCGGCATCCAAAAGAGAGGCTTCCATTAAAGAAATTTGAAAAGTTGACTTTGGGTAAATTTACTAAAGAATTGACCTTGATAGTTATTTTCACCACTAATGCTGTAAGATTCATAGTGGTTTTCTTAGAAGCACACATTTGACCTCCATTTGACCTTTAGTGGTCATCATGACCTTGGCCTTCAATTCGTATTTGAATGCAAAATTTTCCACCCTTTCGATTGCCGGCATGAAAGATAGGAATTTCCTTCAAAAAATGAAGTTGACCTTGAAATGACATTGAATGGATCAAGGTCAAATCCAAGATCACCCTTGACATTGATAGTTGTTTTCATTACTAATCCTGTGAGACTTATAGAGGTTTTCCTAACACCACACATTTGACGTTTAGATGGCACCCTGACCTTGGACTCCAATTCGTATTAAAACGTCAAAATAGGGATCTTCGCTAAAAAAAAGTTGACTGAAATAACTTTGAAGGTGAAGGTCAAAGTCAAATCCAAGGTCGGCGTTTACTTCCTCGTTAAAATGTACTAAAAACCTAAGGTTTTCCTAGCAGCACACATTTGTTCTTCATTTGACGTTTAGTAGTCCTGACCTTGGACTGGATTGTGCTTGAACGTAACATTTTCTGTTCTTTCGATAACCGGCACAAAAAAAGTTGACCATGATTAATAAGCGCCTCCTTCTTCCAAAATCACTCACTAGAGAGAATTAATGGTGCCTTTTGTCGAAAAATTCAAAAGTAGCACTTACTTCTCAGTGTTTAATTCCAGAGGTTGGAGGTACTTGTGTTTTCTCCATTTTCATCATTCCCATATCCCTGATGGCGGCTAACTGTCTCTGCATTCTTTTGTTACATTACCTGGATCATGCTGATGATTTCTAATAAGGAGCGGTTGCTTAGACTAGTGGAATCAGGATGCACTGCCAAACATATGGTAAACTAACATGAGCAACATCACTTACCGCACTGTCATTAGGTGTAAAACATCCATTGGAGACTGTAAAAATACAGGGTATTCTTAGTCGCCCGTCACAATCTCTTCCAAAATGTCAGAATTGCCAGAAAGATTTCAAATGACTTTCTGAAACTTTTAAGAAGGTTATTATGCTGGATTTCGACATAAAGGGTGGGCCAATAAGTTGAGCGGATTTTAAACAATCATAGAAAAAAATTACAAAGCGTAGGGAAGATAATTAATATTTTTAATAAAGTAGGCACATGGGAATTTTGTTTTTAAAAAATAACATCGTTGATCTTTGAGCCATCAAGATGCACGCACTCCTCGAATCTTGACTTCAAATTCGTGAAAACTCGCTGGCACATCGCTCGTGGGATAGCGGATATCTTATAGAAAATGTTGTGCTTGAGCTGGACAATTGTGGTTGGTTTCAATTCCTGCACTAGTTGAAGTTTACATGGGTGCAATTTAAGGTCTTTTTGATGATAACTGTGAGCTTCGCAACTTTACATACAGTTCCCTCTGTTCGTATTGACCTTGGACGCAGGTTTCAGTGTCGAACCAGTAGACTCAAAATTTCTGACCCATAACCTGGTCACACTTATTAGGACATTGACTTATATCATATAAACTAAACTCAGAGCGAAACATTTTTGTAATCCGCCTTAAAATAAAACGCACGTTGCTCATCAGTAAAACGCTCTATGGCGATTAAATTTCCGAGCACCAAGCTAGTTATCCCCACTACCCGCATCCGGCGTGCCTGTCACGAGCAATGCGGTTTTGAAATATGTATTCTTTCTGGTTCATCCTGTATTTAATGCAATACCTTCACGTGACTATCTTCGAGAGCCATGGTTTCAACCTTCTGAGAAATTTCATCGTATGTTGCTGTTTTGAGTCTTTCAGTTCTGGGATCGTCTTTCCCATAGAAACCGTTCCGACCGAAATTTGGTTGTCATATACTGGTGCGTCACCTACATTCTATGTAGGGCAACTATTCTCTCTAGAATTGTTTTCGGCTGATGGCCCTCTTTTGTCAGACTTTTTGATACCGCGATACCGTAATTCTGAGTTACTTATTTCATGGTCTCCTTATCAGATAGCAACTTGAAACGTGTACTGAAAGGGAAAAATTAACATACATCACCTATGTTGTCTGAGAAAATCACTGTCTCCATTTTTCCTATTATTAATGGCTGTTATAGTAGATCTAATCGTAATATTTATTTACGGCACGGGTATCATCCCAACTAGCAAAGTAGTGATATAAGCTTTTGGTAAAAGAACCGTTCACTCATAAAAGCTCTCTATTGTTGTTGCCTGATCACCAAAATGCTGGCTTAATGTTGTGCAACATATTTGCTCTAAAATGTGGTGTTTAAAATATTTTTATAGCATAGTTATACAACATCTTATAGGGCAAATTTTTAACTGTTGCATAAACGTTTATACAACTATTTTATACGGCATATTTGCACGTTAGTCAAAATGGTTGTGTTGTGGCATCCATGGTAACGTTTATAAAACAAACCCGAGCCTTGTTGTTTTGCTGTGCAATTTAGTACTTTGGCCAACAAATTGCTCCCAACGGAAGCACTTATACAACTGTTGTTATATAGTAATTGTTAAAGGCCGTACATATGCTAAATATGTTGGTAAACAACTTCACCATAACCTAACTTTCTGCTGTCATATTTTTGTAAAATGCCATAACCAATGTTTTAAGACAAACAACACATGCATAATGGTTCAAAAGGTTTTATCAACTGTTCAAACAGAAGATATAGATCTGGTACAAATTCTGGGTAAATCATTCGACTCTGTCGGTATTTCATTTCAGACATTGTCAAATTGTTGTATAACACCTGCAGGCAACACCAAAATATTCTAATAACCTAAAGACAACATGGGCGATGTCATGATTGTACACAACCACCCGCCATATTGGGCAAATATTTATTCCTCTATTTAATATAATTATGTTTCAGTTCGGAATTACAGATATAAAGAGATAAACATTAGTGTAATTGTATCTAAATATAGTATTTGTGGAAGATTTAACGCAGATAAGTTCAGTTTCATCTTCAAAATCTAGACATACTTTTGATCATTGTCAAAATATGAATCAAATACGAAGCCCGTAGAAATTGGGTAACTAATTTGCACGATAATCACCATAAAATTTGCTTCGCAAGTAATTTAATAGCCCTATATCACAGTGTAGAAGTTTATCATATACCTGTGTATGAAATTCACAATCGCCGATATGTAAGTAAACAAGATGACTGTAATGTGTTAGTTATATATTCTTCACTTCGTCTATACAATACATAAGAAATAGTTTGGTTACAATAAAGTAGAATCACGTACCTAACAGAATAGTTGTATAGTTGACAAAAACTGAATCTTACACTGACCCAAATGTCCTATAGCGGCTGCAAGAGGCTTACACTTTTGTTTTATAACTGTTACCTGCAGCCCTTATACAACCTCTTAAATGGTTGAAGTGTCCTATTAGGTGTGCCCATTCCGCTTGTATAGCTGTTCTAAGAGGGTTTTGCCAATGTTCTTACAGTATACAATGCTGTTTAAGGAATACTGTATAATCATTCTTGCAACTCTAATAGGAGTGATAATTGTTAGTTGGGACGTATCTTGGAAAGTGACATTAAGCCGATTTTTTTTGAGATTATGCTGGTTTTTCTGACATTATGTAGGTTTTTCTACAAGATATTAACTTAGCACTTAGTTGTACTTGTTGTCATGAGGCTTGTTATCAATCTTTGGCTCTGATGTGATCTAAAATCTGCTTCTGAGATGGCATTACTGGAGGTCTAAGCGGTAAAGTTGTATGTGTTGATGATAATTACATTGGGTTCTTGTCTCAAATAAACTTAATTGAGATTCAAAGCTAGAAATTAGCTGCGCATCTACGTGTTCTTATCCATTCTGGAAATTACATATAAAAATGAGAGATAAGAAATAATTATATACACTGTCGAATTACAATCCATACACATGCTAATAGTAATTACACCCAACGCGGGCGTTTTCGTAATTTATAACTTTGGACATCTCTTCAGAAAGCACAACATATAAATAACCCGTCATATTTGGCATATTCAGTAATGATTTTCTCACACCAGCAAATATCACTGATTTTATACAGATGCAGAACACAATACACATAATCATCCAGATGCGATCTTGCTATTCAACCAACTTTCTTCTCAGAGATAAAAACTACATACACGGATCACTCAGCCTCATAAAATTATGCAACCAATAATGCGTGTAGTTTAGTAGAGCGATTCCTCCATAGATGGACGTTCACAACGATTCTAGTGAGCAAACGTGGAATGGCTGTTCGCGCCCTAAAAACTACCTAGTCTGAAAGTTGACATCTTATAGGTTTTCTTTGACGTTTTATAGGTTTTTTACATGATACCCGTGCGGGTCAAGCTAGGTAGCTGAAATTCTAGATGATAATGACAGTAATATTTCATGCTGGCGACTGGACTGTCAATCCTTTTAGTACACTGGATCGTTTATAACTCGACAAATAATTATCAAATCATTATGTTTATATTAACCTTCTTCTTTTCGGAATGATCTATTCAAATGTAGAATATAATTTGAGACATTTAGTTTACAAAAAAATGAAAAATTTTGCCAATTTTTCGTGAAATGTTTCACATTGTATTACATATTCGGATAGACGCTTCCAAGATATGGACTGGTGTGGACTAATATAACATACTACATCGTTTTGGTGATTGGTAGTCGAGTCACAGAGTGATAGCGACTTTATATTCTAGGGTTATAAAGAACTCATAACAAGCTCTAAAACGTGGTATCACGCGACCCTTCATTCCATTTAAAAAATATTCGATGAAGATGCCCAGCCGCCATCTTGAAATTGTTAGCTGATATTTTCCCACCAAAATAATATTCATGCATTATTTCAATGTTTGTTTTTATTGTCGTTTCTGGTCCACTGTAGCATTTTTTTACGTAAAGCCAAAATAAGCGATTCAGCAATTATTATGCTGCTTACATGCATATGACTACACATTTTTTGACAGCTCCGGGCTACTATACCAGGTGGTACTCCTAGGAAAAATGAAAAAGGTGTTTTTCTCAGAAAATATACGTGATAGAATTTTTTAGTATATATTTCTTACCTTAATACCTAATACCTACTCAAATTCCTAATGAGTTTTTTAAAGTGGAATCCATCGTAAGATTGAATAATCGAGACATTTACGTTACGAAAAAGTCCGGTGCGGCAAAGGGGTGTGTGAAAGAAAACTGAAGACATACGACTTGCGGCAGTATCGAACTCGGGCACCACATCGCGTGCCGTATCGGTAAAGAAAGCTGTTTGTTTGTACATTGGATTTGAAAAAAACAAAAGTAGCACACCAGTATAGCAATAGAGAACTTGTCGATATGATGTTAGTTTACGGCGAGTGTTTTCAAGACGTTGTTGATGCTATGCAAGAGCACACGTATTATTTTTCCGGAGGTTCTCATTGCTAAGGAGGCAAGCCCTTTGAAGGAACGTCGGGGTGGGCACAGGAGAGAACCCAGATAGTCCCGAATATTTCAAATTGAGGAACAAAATAACAAACTTGCTTTTTTTCCAATAGAACGATGATTACTTCGAACAGTATCTATAAGTAACGTGTGCAGAACGGTACTGGAAGTGACTTATAAAATTAACTTTGCTACATTTCTTTACTCCTTTCTTGTTTTCTAACCGCACAATAACTATGTTACTCCAGGCGTAGCTGTTTCTAAAAAATAAAGTTTCAAGATTTAAGACACCCTGATATGGATTGAACCTATTTAAGGAATTGCAGCTACTGTCCCAACGTTACTCGTACATGAGTGGTTGACTACCATAATCAAAGGTCTTATGTAGCTTCGTAGATTTACTGTGAAGAACTCCAGTTTAATCATATAGACGTTTTTTGCTTTTGTTCATGATCAGTGGCAAGTTTCTAGGAGCTGCAAAGTAGGGCTTTGAGTTACGATTGGCTTTTTGGGATCCTTCTATCATTGAAAATTCCCGTTTAATAAGGTAAAATTTAAAAACCAAATACAGGTAGGTTCAAACAAACACATTTACGTGTTTTTTCTACCGAATGGTCGCTGAAAAAACGAACATTGACCATATACTGCTTAGCTCGAGTATACGAGTATTACCTCATAAAGCTCTCGAAATTTACTAGTCTGTCTTCAAAAAAGTACTCGCAATACTGGTTAAGTAAGTATCATTAGTTATCGGTAAGAATTATTAAATTCAAATTAGTGGCCGTAGCACTGTACCTACTGACCATCTACAATTATAGTCCAGGGGTATCGTACATGATTATAGTTAATTGCCTTAACTGTTAGGAGAAGATATCCTTTAATTTCTTTGGGTAGAAGGCAAGGTATTGCAAAAGTACACTCTTATAACTTAAAATCTGAAGCTTTCGAAGAATTTTTTCTTCATCGTCTGGAGTAAGTCGGCGAGATTGTTGCTAAAATTGTTTTGGGAAGGGAACACATAGTAATAATTCCGTCTTAATCGAACCTCATCGCTCCAGTTTTTTATTCGTCGACTATGTGTTCCCTTCAATGTTGTATAAAAAACAATTTCAGCAACAATTTTGCCAACTTACTCCAGACGATGAAGAAAAAATTCTTCGAAAGTTTGAGATTTTAAGTTATAAGAGTGTACTATTTCAATACTTTGCCTTCTACCCATATATATATATATATATATGCTTTCTTATTAGTGGTACAAACTCAGCATTCAGAGTTTGTGTGATTTATTATTTGTTTGTCATAGAACAAAGTAAACTTAGAATTCTCCAAGGAACCATTCTTTGAATTTCCCGCATGCTAAGCCAGTCTACTAGTGGATATTTGTAATATATGAAATATAGACTAACGGCAGTAGGGTGCCAGGAAGAAGATATGTAATATTACGATTCCACCCATTCTACTAGTATTCCAAGGCTATAATGAATATATCAAAATGACCTAAGCTCATTACAAAGTAATTTCGTTTTAAAAATGTGACTGCTATTTTGTGCTATTGGTCCAAGCATTGTTACAACTTACTTGCTGAATAAGGATTTATTGAACTTGCGGCCATGATGAAGTTCTTCTTAGATTTTTTGAACCATTTTAGTGCGTCCTCCATTTTACAAATGTACGCGACTTTCGCGTTCAGAACGTCGCACGAAATAAGAATCGCCGATTTTGCGATTAATTCAAAAATTGTGTTCGATGATGATCAGTTGAGCAAAGATGACATAGACGTATACAGGTAAGAAGTTTGATTTTGGATCCATTACGTTACATTATTTTGAATGTATGTTTTATCTATTGTCGTTAGGAGGGGTGGTAAGAGATCTGTGCATTGTATTTTACTGCTTAAGGGTATGATACTGAAAACTATGATTGGGTCTTCATTTACGAGTATTAATGAAGAAAATTGATCTGGTAGTGATATACTCATAAATATCTTAGATATAATTATCACGTATAAGTCGCACGCTTACACATAAGACTGTAAACACTAGAAACAATGACGATATGCAAGCAGATATTTTTTGAAAACGATGTTTAGGTATGTTTGACGGTGACCTGCTTTTTTTGCTTGCTTTGCCGCCAATGCATTGTTTTTTTGAATCTATCATTCACGTGATACCTTATTTTGAAGCTTCTCGTGGGTATCGTCAAGTCGTAACGTCAGGATTAGTTGTCCTTTTCGATTTGTCTATGATGTCACTTTACAGGTTTTGTCAATCTCAAATGCTGCTAGGATCAACCCCTACACCGATGCACTTTAATCTAGGTCAAGAAAATATAAAATTTTCATATTTCATTTCTTTGATGTACGTTGTAGAGTACTACATCTTGTTATACTGTACCCCACCCCTGGGGCACACCATAACAAATTTGTGTTCTTCAAAAACTACAAAAATAGGTAGTATCTAAGTATAATTATGTTATTATTTCAAGCCTAATATGAAGGTTGAAAATTGCTGATCTCATGGTTGAAACTAAGAAAACGATATAATAAAAGTTTGTTTTTCTAGGAACAAAAATGGCGTTTCTGTTATATTACGCCACACTTGACCCTCCTTTATAAGTCTGGAATAAAATTTTGCTATATTTTAAATTGGCGGACTGACAAGCAGCTAAAGGTGATCAATTTTGAACATTGAATCGTTTATAATTCATCAACCGACCATCAAACCTTTTCCTTTATAAGGGTCTATCTGAATATATGTAATAAAATATGAGACACCCCGTTAAAAAAGAATCGACAGATCTTGACAATTTCCTCTAAATGGCATGCTCCATGCTTCACGACAGATTCTAGTAGACTCTTCCAAAATGAGAATCTGTATATTGCGTACTATGGGTTTTTGATCATCAACTATAATGGTATGTTGAATTATAAGCGATTTAATGTACAGAAGCGCTCCACTTTGACAGCTTGCCACTCCACCACATTGAAAGATGATGGTTTTATTATCTTGGATCAAAGAGCACGTATCTGAAGCTGCAAAGTCAGATACCACTCCGCCACCATCTTGAAATGTTTAACTGAATAAATAGGGAGACCTTTTCGAAATGCACTGTATAATTTCCTCAAAATCAGCTCACTTGTTCCAGATACAGAGTGAAAAATGTTACAGACACATTAACAGACAATCTAATTGACAGATCAACTGATATGAGTAGCACATACTTCTGTTATGCTCAGAAAATTATTTACTATCCCAAATTTACGTAATTTTTGCGATTTCATCCTTTTATAATCACGTGGAAAATAAAACAACAAGACACTGTTAGTCATACATAGCGTCAATAAAGTATCTGGACAAACTTCAAGGGGTGATAAATAATTTCAAGACAAAAAGTTTTGTTTTGGAAATATTGATTTTTTTGTTTGAAACTGATATTCCGCATTCTCGAATGAACAATGAAGGTTAAATCGAACCATCAAAATCCAAACTACGACAAATTCAATTTCTGAATCAATACGCTTTGTTTGATGATATACGAGCCCCTTCCCACTTCAGTTGGCCCACTTCAAGGTTTGTACCAAAATATGCCTTTATAAACTAAACATGACGAAACTATTTACTTCTAAAACAATTTATTTTCTCAAAAACATTTTAGATACACTCTAGTCGTAAAAATCCATATTTGAAATCACTTAGACCTATAACTAATAGAACATCTGAACAAATAAACAATGTGCGAATAAATGCGCGAAGTTTTTTTTTTTTTTTTTTTTTTTTGGCTTTAGGACTAAGCCATGCAGCCAGAAACTAGGTTGTATATAGAATATATCTAATTATGTACAAACACACGACGTCACAACATCCATGGCGAAGGCGAGATTCGAACTCGCGACCCGGCTGGCCGGCTGATCAGTAGCACGACACTCTGACCCACGCGGCCAACCGCGGTCCCATGCGCGAAGTTAACAAAGCAACAATTGAAAGATTACCATTGGGTAACATCACCTTTATTTTTTATTACGGCTGAAATTTTTTGGGGCGTAGTGTTAACCAAGTTTTGGCAAAAATTTGGTATAATACAATCCCATAATTCTTGAAGCTTTTGTCTTAGTTCGGTGATTGTACGAGCAGGATGTTGTCGTAGAACCTTTTTCATCTCGTGCCACAAAGTTTCAATAGGTGACAGATCTGGACTGCTAGAAACTTATTTCAAAAGTGGTACATTATTTTCTTCCATCCATTTTATAGCCTTTTTTGAGGTATGGCACGCTGCACCATCTTGCTGAAACACAAAATCTTGGCCGGATGTCAAACATTCTTCCATCACTGGTAAAAGCGATTCTTCTAAAATTGACAAATATTTGTTTGTATCCACATTTCCATCAATAAAATGAAGTTTTCCTACTTCTTTTGATGACATACCGCCCCAGACCATAATGGTTGCTGGAAATTTTACTTTTCTCTTCAGACAGTCAACATGGAATGCTTCATTTTTTTGCGAATAACTTTACTGCGACTGTCACCAACACAAACTTCGAATCGGGCCTCATCATTCCATTGTATTGCACACCATTGTTGAGGTGTCCATTGTCTATGTTCTTTAGCCCATCTAAGCCGATTTTTCTTTTACAATGGAGTTAATAGTGGATTTTCTTTAATTATCAGTAACCGAATTTTCTCACTAATAACCTTTCCTCTACCCATTTTGAAAACCTTAACTACCCAAAACTATTTTACACGTATTCTGACAGCTGTGATTAATAAAAACAATTGTCATGGCGTTTATTTTTCACAGCCACCAATGCGTTATAGACTTATTTTGCATTGAAATGAAAATAGGTTGATATGCTGTAATTGCAACATGTGCTGCAAATTTGATTAGGGAGTGATAAAGTTGGTGTTTTCTACTATATGTTATCAAAATATTCATTGTTAATATTTTAAACTTATAACACCCTGCTACATTTTTATTATTTGTGTTTGATAAGAAGAAAACTAAGATTTCAATAGTTGGGCCAACTGAAGTGGGTAGGGGCTCGTATTACTCAAAACTATACCAAGAAATTCTACATCTGGCATTTGCGCCAGACTGGGGGTAGGCAACTCTAGTTTAACGTTCTTCTCGGAGGACCAGGGTTTTACCGAATTTGTAATACTAACTGAAACATTTAAAAAATCTATATATTGTGGTGTACACGAAGAAGCGATTGAAGTAATAATGACAACGGAATTCGTAGATATTGATCTTTTAATACCCTATACTATACATTTCGTACGGCATTGGGACCAATCAGCCAACGTAAAGCGGCCCAGCGGTGCAGCGGTTGAGGACGGTAGCCGTGGAATAGCTTTGACAGTTTGCAACATTATCCAACAAATAAAATTTGACAGCCAAGTGAAAACTGCTGTCAAAATAAAGCTATTCCATATCGCGACTACTAATCAACATAAAAGCGCTGCACCGCTGGGCTGCTTTACGTTGGCTGAACGATCCCAGTGTCTATGACAGAACAAAACATTTGGCCCTAAAGTAGCATTTATGATGTTTCGTGGTAGCATTTGCCAGTCAAAAAATATCATTTATAAAGTGAAAGAAGTTCTTTAAGACTCCACAAAGTTGTTTCAAAATGAATAAAAATTCGATTGAACTCGAGTCGAGCCTCCCGTTCTGCCAGGAAGAGGTTTATTGACGTAGATAACGGTGCATTTGTTTACTGCTGAAGATGTACGGCAATATGACCAACATTTGCTTCTCAATAGACATCTCCAGCGGATCGTCGAGACCTTCAGAGCCCATCAACATTGCTCCTCCAAATCTCCAAGCTTCCACAGCCTTCAAGTGGCCTACAGAATATTTTCTAAAGAAAGGGTGGAATTCCAGTTCTTTCTTATCTACGAAGTAACAGAGAAGGAAGTTCCAAAGCTGAATATTCTTGAGAGGCAGATGGTATTCTCGTTCAAGAGGAAAACAGATAATACTGATACATTCGACTGGCTGAAGGTTTGTACCCCCGTTTCCCTATTTCGTTGTAGTTAAAATATGGACATAAAGTGACAAGTAGCTAACCAGAAAGAACGTAGTTATTAGAGTGATCGCTATTGAGGATCCATTTTACTTTTGAACGATATTTTATGGTATCGACGTCCAATTTTGCTGCCGCTAGGCGGCGCTTGTGTGGTTGGGGGTCAAACTACCAGAAGTGGACGAGAAAAAGAGATAATTGGTGGAAATTACTTTGTTCTTTAAGACTTTCTTCACGTTTATCAGCAGATGACATATTTTCTGTTTATAACCTTAGACATCACCACCAACCTAACAAGCACCCTATACGTCTAGCTTTCCAGATAATCCGTTGTTGGGACCTCATATGATGATTATCTAGGAAACAAATAAGTCAGGTCACCTGGGACGAAACAGTTTGGACGAAATATCGCCCATTTTTGTAAGACCTGATTATTAAGTTGAGCAAAATGTACTTTAGTTTGATATCGATAAAATAAGCTGTTTTTAAGATAAACTTTTTTGTTTCAGTACAATTTTGATACTGGATCCTGTATACTGGATCCGTTATCTTGAAAATAGGTAGATATATAACACAGCCCCACACAAAAAAGGCCGGTATTGGTCTTTTGCAACACCGAATCCGAATCGACGATCAAAAAAGTTCCGAGACATCTAGATTTCATTCCCGGGTTAAAAAATTTACCCGTAGAAGGGGTGAAAATTGAGTTTCGAATGCCAGATGCTGGAGCATGGTACCCCCATATAGTCTTTGAAGCTTAATCCGAATTTTTTGTCCAAACATTCATACACCCCTATAGCTTACCTCCGGGAACACAACTACCCCTACAAGAAGTGAAAATTGAGTTTTGGATCCCCGTGTTTGTGGTCTGAAAAATTCACCTCCCGTGAATTCACTGCCCCGTCATGCCGGGACGAAATTCTATTGCAGCAGTTTGATGCATTTTCATCCTTAGCCTTGGAGCCCCATGAGTTGAGTTGTACATACGTGAAATTCCGGATGGTTTGTCTCGATATCGAAAATTTTTAGAAGTGACAAACTCATTCCGATAGGTGTACCATCGTATGTACGGACAGTAAAATAGAGGAATATATTGAAATAAATGGAAGTACAAGTATAAAGATATTGTTGACATCAAATTCAGATCCAGCTTCGACAAGAATATAAGAATACCATGGCTAAGCATCTAGCATCAAAAGCTCAAATTTTCACTCCTCCTGGGGCTCATTCCTGGAGAGTCAACATTTCGTCGACCACAAATATCGGATTCAGCGTCGAAAAATACACAGGAAAGCTATACTCTCAGCATCTGGCATCCAAAACTCATCTTTCAAACTCCTTGGGTTAGGGTTTAGGCCCGGGGAAGAATTCTAGGTATCTAGGAACTTGCAAAAATCGGATTCAGCGACGAAAAATACAAAGAAGTATCATGATCGTGTCACGGATCTTGCCCTCTTCTTCGTGGGTCTGAGTAATTAGAGGGATATTCAAATCGTGGTGGATATTCCTACATGTCATGTTCAACCGAGAACTTCATTTTGGGAGTAGTTTCCTGCTACCGACGTAGAGGCCGGTAGTACCGCGTTTGGTGCAACAGCTCCACATGCTTACAGATTTGGTTATTGACCTCGATTTTACTATAGAGGGTTAGTCTTCAGCATACTCCAGTAACCAATAATTTTGTAGCAAAGCTGACACAATTACCTTCTTTGAAATGGTGTTTTCCTCTAAAGTCCGTTTGTCACGATAAGAAATTTTTTGCTAAATTTAGTATGCTAAATTTCGTATAAAATTGGGGATAGAGTCACACAGCATTTAGCATTTAGCATTTATGTATGAACAAATTGAGTGCTAATTTTTTTAGATCCTGTTCTAAATCATATCATGCTAAAAGTGAGCAGACGCCTACTGCGCATTTGGAGCAGTACAATGGCTGCTAGAAGCACCATAGGACAAGGCAGTACATGTTTTGTGCGAACTCCTTGACATCCTCTTGAAGTTTTGTGATGATTAGATGAGACGATAATTGGTTGACAAAAACAAGCCTAACCTCATCAGTTGTTGTGATCAGTTGTGTTCATCAGTGTCGCGAAACTATTTTCAACACAATACTGAATCACTGAGAAAGAAAGGTATAATACGTGTGTACAGCAAGCCGCAACCAAAAGTGTGGCTAGTATGTACAAAATTTTGTATCATGACAGACGGTCTTTACTCTGCTATCTTGGGTTATATCTGAGAACATACTTGGCGCTTAGCCACTATATCACTGGAGCTAAGCGTGAACAGAAACCTGTTCTACAAAAAAATGCTACAAAAGGTTGTAAAGCCTTGTTCTCCAGTATATTCAAGCCGTGAGGTTGTCCAGCAACTGAAGAGCCTCTATATAATATTATTATTATTAACATATAATAAGACTCTTAGCCGTTTCTGGTTACCATCTTCTTTTACTCGTATATAATTAGCAACCACAATAACATTTGAACTGTGACAAGTCTTGAGTTTTGTAAGATCTTGTTGGAGCCGTTAGGCTTTTTTTTTGTAATAAATCTAAGTAAATTATTATTTAAATGCTTGCAGAATGCATTGAGTGAGCTTCTGAACTACGTACTACGAGAGTTTGAAGAAGAAGACCGAGTGGGATTAATTATAAAGCACGAAGATGATCAAACAAAGATGGCCACTTTTCCTATAAGTCTGAAAAACCACTTGGAGGCCTCCGTGATTATCGATACGCTGAACTCCATTGCTAGGATAAAAGGCTCACTCATAGCAGAAGAGAAAATGTACTTGCAAGTGATTAGAATAAGGACGCCCGTACTTTATAAGAAAATTATTTCTCGAGAAGACGTGTTGTCTCTAGGATGTAGTGACACACTGAGCTGGATGTGATTGTACAATATCAAAATACTTAATATATAAGCACACTTCCAAAACGATACCTCATTTGGAATATTTATATATTTTTCACCCTCGATCAGTAGCATATTTGCACTTTGCACTCATTAGATTTCGTAAGGACGAAATAGGACTTGGGTGGAGGATAGCTACACTCCAATCACCGTTTGAGCAATTAATACAAGGTGGTTGTAATAGATTAGTAAATTGAATAGGTGAAATTCCCCATTTTTTCATCCATGCTTCAGCTAGACATAGCGGTTAGAATATTGTCGCTCATGTGTTTTACCGTGCAGCGTATGAGCAAGCAGAGATTGCCTTTTTGTTGTCGGAGCTTATTCAGCTATTGAAGACACCACTGAAAGGAAAGCATTGGTTTGAAGCCCACAAATGGAAGCGGAATATTGCTGGTTTCACTGCTGAACTTAGAATTCTCCTATGAAGTTTATTAACTACTGTCGTAACATTGGAGGGACGATACAATGTGCTCTCCACGTGACCGCGATGTTCGAATATATCGAGACAATCTGCCTCTAAACCTATAAATAGTCTACAAAACCAAAATTGAAATTTTGTTTTTATTATAACTTTTATTGTCAAATTATCGACTGTGACCTCTAATGGGGTACCACCACACTTCTTGCTAAAACATATATCTCTAGCGAAATTAGGCTGTCGCGGAGAAAATACATGGGTTTACATCATTGTAGATTGACTTTGGCGCTTTATGTCAGCTGTGATTTGGATCAAATGATATTGACACCGTCTCCTGAATATCACAACTTGTGATGAATTTTGTGCTTGGAATTTTTACGTTTACAACAGTCCAGTACATACGATTCGGTTTTTTATAATAGTAATGGTTTAAGACAAGTATTGATCAACAAAAGACTATATTTAGCATGTTCGTCACTATAAATACCTACAATCGTAACTATTTATATCTAGTCAAAAATCAACAATTCCCTGTATGGTACTTTCTTGAAGTATCCACTAGATATGGCCCTCGCTACGGCCCTGATCGTCTGACTGATCGCACCTCCAATTTCCTTGACCACCTCTTGCCAGTTTTCATTCAAAAATTGATTCATATTGTCGCCTGAAATAAAATATAAGATTATATTTTATAGAAGATAATTAGTAAGTATTTTTCTAAGGCGTGAAAATGGTCCAAAAATACTAAGGAATGGGACCCAAATGCAGTGTCTTATAATTTCAAGCTCGTGAAAATAATTATATCTTCGAAATTCTTATCATTTCGAAATTTTATGAATGAACAGCATACAAAAAAAAACCAGCCCAATCCTCACCAGTAGCCCAAAAACTGAGATTTTTTAGTCGAGCAGAAGATGAAAGAGGGATATTTTCTAAGTCACTGGCTTTTTTGAAACATCCATAACATTTTTGGATAAGGCTTTTGATTTCACGTGAGTTATAGTTCTCAACTGGCCAGATACTCCATTTTCTAGTAAAATTGGTTTGAAAGTTTGAAGGAGAATTCGTGTAAAAAGTTCCTTCTATTTTGAAAATTCGCTAGAATTAGTGAAGTTTGATAAATAGAATTTGATGCAGTATGGTAGGAAAATGCTAGATAATTATGTTTTGTCCCTAACTAGGCTTGACAGTGTCATAGAAGTTTACAATATCCTGTAGTTTAGCAATGGTACATTTTTGAACTTATCTTTATATTAATATTTCACATTATTTGCTTTAGAAATATCGCCATTATTTTTCGAAAATATAGTGTTCTTCCATTGCGTAATTCCATTCTGTTTTCTTTTCGCTTCATCGACCAAATCTCAGTGCTTTAGGAGGAAGTGTTGATACCTGTTGGATTCACTTTTTCCTTCTCGCTGGTCTATGAGCTGCTCAAACCTTTGCAGCAGTAAAAAATAGAAATAACTGGTGCATATCCTCATTACTTTCTCAGATATGAAATCACTTGAAAAATCTTAATCTGCCATTGCTTTCAAAAGGCAAAACTCTTGCTGCGTATTGGTTATCTGTCGCTTGCATTGGTTGTGCAGATAGTCTTTTTTAAGTTCTGTAATGCAAGTGTCTTTTGCTTGGCTTGCACTAAGATGCCAGCGACACTGCGCGTGAGTGAATAGACTATGACAAAACTGGGTCTGAAATGAATTGCGCAAAAGACTGACTGCATACTGTTCAGTTTTTGGAAGGGGCGAGAAATTGACGCGTGCATTGTTTCCAGTTTGGACTATGGAACTATGCAACTCCTTGAATTCACTCGAGATCTGCTTGAAGAAACGGAGGTTTCCGCATTGCCTTCCATCGAAGCAACTTTGGGAAGTGCTACTGAATCCACAGGAACAACCAATCGCAGACCTACCTGTCCACTTAACCCTTCAGCAGCCAATGTATTAAAGGAGATGACAACATAATGTCTTGTAATCCATGCACTTACTGCAGTAGCATAGCTGGCGAAAGTAGCGGATAGCGTCAGCTACAGTAGTAAGAGGCTTTGCGTTATGGCTGCTTTCGACGTTAAGAATGCCTTTAACTCTGCACAATGGCAGAAAATCGTCGAATATCTCGAGAAGCTAGAAACCCCTAGCTATCTTTTGAAGATAATAAAGAACTTGTTTGACGATAGGGCAATTATGGTAAGGGAAAATATATTGAAGGTAACCATGTGAGTACCACAGGACTCCGTCCTAGGGCCGTTGCTTTGGAACGTGGTCTACGTTGGGGTTCTTCGGTTCCTGTGCTTGATATGGTGTACTGACGACCTTGCGATGAGGGCTAGCAAGGAGAGAGATCCACTTGAAGAACTCTTGGCATATGGATGGAAGAAAATTACTTAAAATTAACTCCTGGGAAGACGGAAGTAAGCTAACTTCATTAGTTGTTGTTAAGGTTCACAATTCAGAAATTCGGAGCCAAAATGCAATTAGGTATCTGAGTTGTGGTTTGACAGAGATCTGAAAATGATTGAGCATATAATGCACACCACTGAGGTAAATAAGTATAATAACTTGGTAATGTTAAGTATGTCTTAGTTAAGCAGAAGTAGTAGTGGTAACACAACACATAAGACATAACAAATATAGAACGATGTTGGAAATAATTATAGCTTTATACAAAAGTCAAAAGTAACAGCCTTAGACATCGTGGATAACCGAAAATACCGATATTGGCCCCCACTGTTGGTAAAGTTTGCTGCCAGATTGTGATTTCTTACGTAATGATAATTCCATTATCACCCAAATTATATTTTCAAGCCTCACACTAGTGCATCTTCAAATTTCATTTACTCTCCGTCAAAACAAACATTGAAGTTCGCGCGCCCCTAGTGGCCAGCTGGCCATAAATGCCTGGGAAAGCAGCAACAAGCGAATAAAAGTGCCGATTTGGACGCCGAGTAAATGAGGTTTGGACACACTTTAGACAAGAGTTCTGGAATGGTAAACGTGACTTGAAAGTAACAATCAAATCTGAGAGTGAATTTTCTGATTTTGTTTCTATCCCCATCTTGCAATTACTGTAGCATGTAACTATCAGTACTCACCTAATTGCTTGTTTCCGTCAAACAGATTTTCTAAGTTGAAGTATGCTCTTTTCAGTTGAAAGTCCAGATTGTCGTCGTCGGTGAGCTTCATGTATTCTTCGTCGTTTACTTTATCCAGGACATATTTGAAATGATACTGGAACTTAGGTTCCACTAAAACAAGATATAAAAACCTTATTTGTTTGTTCACTTTTAGATGTTTTGATGATATTCTGATTAACTTGGAATATCGTAATACTAAAATTTTCCTAAAAGCTGTTTATTGAGACCTTCTTTTTTTGAGGATGGCGCACCTACCTTGGCATTTGGGAGTACATATGAATGAAAATGACAAATTTCAAAAAAGCCGGATGCCTCATCATTACCTTTAACTGCAAGTACCAATTGTTAATTTTACGCTTGATATAAACTATACATCAAAATGCCTAGGCTCCTGTGCCTCGTAATGATAGTAGCAAAATGAGGAATGCATCAAAGCAATGATGATGGCTCATGTCGAACAAGATCGCATCTCCCTGAGAAATATAACAAATAAATCACTCCCAGTTGTCAAGAAGGATTAGGCATTCGACTCTCAATTCTCATTTACTGTAGAAACTGTTGAAAATAATTCCGAGAATTCTGAGGAATTTAATTTTCAAAATATCTTTAATCATGAGGAACAGCAATATGACATGGGTTTTAGACGATGTGAGCAGTAAACTTGACAGGTGAATATTTGATGAGTCTATCTGATTGAATAGACCGTCAAAATAAACTTGGCGTAATACACACAATTATACGTACACTTAACCTACCTCCCGTGATGTTACAGGGTCCCTTTCCTTGAATAGGGAGAATGAGAATTTTACCATTGATGTCGTATTGGCCTATAAGCTCAACCCTGGGCATGTGCATGTCAAGGTACACTTCACGTTTCACGGTGTCTATCCTGGAAGGTAATTTTGTAGTAAGTTGATGCAAATAAAAAGAGTGTAATGTAAGCTGTTGCAAAACTTCCTGGTGACGACACATCGGGTATGGATGAATCATTCAAAAGTTTTGTTTATGTAGATGCTGATATTTAAGTCCAGGAACAGAATAGAACGTTCTAGCTATACAGGGTGCTCAAAAATAGGTAGAGATATTTTAGAGGGTAATTACTTGTTAAAAAATATGAAAAAAGTTTCTATAAACATGGATCCGGAAACGTAGAGTTTTTACGATACAGGATGGTAAATAAAAAAAAATTATCAATATCTTGAAAAATATTCAGTCAATTCTGTTGAGATTTGACAATATTATTTGTTGTATTGAAAGCCTAATTTAGCCCTAAATAGATTAAAATTATCAGGTCCAGTGGCGTCCCGGGGGTACCTTAGCGAATATTATTCGCAAAAGAATCTACGCCACTACCTTATTTATAACTTTAATATATACTTTTTGATTGAGGATCTGAAAATACAGCTTTTTTGCCTCCTGTATTTTTTTCGTTTTGTTGCATGTCACTGGTCAAAATTGGTTTATGAAATTTCTCTAACAATGTTTTTGTCTTGGTTTTTGTGATGGAAAATTACACTTCTGAAGAAAATGGCAGCACTATTACTAAGAGATTTTCTACCTCATTTACAGTTTTGCCAATGGTATAGTATTACCGAAACGTTAATAATATAATAGGAATTTCACATTACATACCATACTTTTTACGGACGAAGCAGGATTTCTGCGGGCTGGTATTAACTACCGTAACAATCATGTATGGAGTGAGGAACACCTTCATACTTGCGTACAATGTCGCCAAAAGGAACAATTTTAAATGTTTGGATGGGTATTGTTGGTGAAAATTTAATCGGTCCTTTATTTTTACCCTTAAGATTAAATGGCGAATCTTACTTAGAGTTTTTTCAACAAGAATTGCCCGTACTGCTAGAAGAAGTTCCTCTAAATGTACGTAACCAAAACTTTTATGTACGATGGAACTCCTCCTTATTGTAGTATTCCTGTCAGAACTCATCTGAATAACACCTTTAGTGAAAATTGGGCTGGAAGAGATGGACCAGTTCACTGGCCACCTCGCTCACCTGACTTGAACCCAATAGATTTTTATTTAGGAGGACACCTTAAGACGAAGGCTTTCGCTACTCCCACAAAAGAAGAATTAAGAAATAAAATCGTAAATGCTTGCGAAGGAATAAGAAATAGACCTCGAATTTTAGCTCGAGTTCGTCGTTCAATGATTCGTCGAGTGAGAAGGTGTACGGAAATGGATATGCAACATTTGTTGTAGTGTAAGTACTTTATGTCATGGTACCTATTGGAAAAGTTGCAGTAACACTCTTTAGAAGAGTTTTTTTTTGATTTTTTGTTTTCCAAGGCACTTGTGATTTTTTTTGCAAAAATTAATGAACCAATATTTTACCAAGCGACATGCAGTTTTTATTTTTTAATCAAAAACGAACTGAGATACAAAAACAACACAAGAGGCAAAGAAGTTGTAGGTTTAGATGCTTAATCAAACAATAAATAATAAAGTTACAAAAAAGGCAGTGGCGTACATTTTTTTTGCCACTAATGTTCGCTAAGGTGAACCCCGGGATGCCATAATAATGGCAAAATGGACATAATAAGTTTAATTTGTTTAGGGGTAAATTAGCCTCTTAGTACAAAAAATAATACTGCAGAATTTCAACGAGTAAATATTTTTTAAGATATCAGTATTTGTTTTTAAATTCATCTCCCTGTACCTTGAAAACTGTATTCCGTATTTTTAACAAGGAACCACCCTCTAAGATATTTCCGTCCATTTCTTGAACACCCTGTACACATTAACAAAATGACCTTCCCTAAACGTCTCTTAATTGAGGAAGCTGTCGAGTGAGCTAGGAAAGACGTTTATCTCCCCACAGAAAACAAAAGATTTGCCTTGGTTTTATATAGTAAATATAAATAAGATGACAAATGGAGTGCAGTGAAATGCAATAAAGAAGGAAATGGACTAAAGTTTAAGGATTATCATTTTCAAATCATTGGCACACGCAGAACCATAGTCTAGGGAGTAGAGGCAATTTATAGTAATTATAACTGATTGCAAAATTGTGTCGAAAGTACGGAGTCAAACTACTTGGCGCCAGTTTTTACTATCCACTAATGATCTAGAGCACACCAGCAGAAAATATGAATGATGAGTGTATTAAACCCCATGTGTGGGCAATGATAGCGACTCGGATGAGGAAGGAATTCTGAACCGAGTCCGAGAACTCGCTTTTTAGCGATACTCTGGACACTAAGCCCAGAGCTTGCGTAATGATTTCCATCAACACATGGCGACTTAAAGAATTTACCTTCAGAGACTTAGGTGCAGTCAGAATTAGATATAAGAAGGAAGGCACTGTCAGGGACCTGATCGTATGTTCGGCTTACCTTGCTTTCGATTCAAGAGAACCTACTCGTCTAAGGAACTGGGGAACCTTCTCGCATTCGGTAGGGATTCTGGACTCGACCTCGTGATTGGATGTGACAACAATGCCCATCACGTCATGCGGGCAGCTCGAACACCAACAGACGGGGCGAAGACCTCATGGAGTTTTTAGGGGCATCGAACCTTGAGGTTCTGAATGTCGGTAACACGCCTCTTTTCAGAAATAGTGTCAAAGAAGAGGTTATCGACGCAACCCTGAGCACGCTTAACCTAGCTCAGGATATTAGTGACTGGAAAGTGTCTCTAACACCCTATCTATCGGATTACAGGTATATATTGTTTAAGACTGATGGAGAGATTTCAGATAAATATGCTCGGAATCCTAGGCATACTAGATGGGGGTCCTTAGAATCCTGGAGGAACTCCATAAATGACATTCCTGCTACTGCTCGAATACACAGGGTCCTATGCAAAGATATTAAAGCAAGATTGGGATCTCTGTATGAACCCTCGGGAGGGAATACTACTTCTGAGGAAGGTACTCTGAGGCTTCTGATGGATACGCACTTCCACTACCCGGTTCCACAGTCGCGCGATCAATCAAATAGTGCACGCAGTTACGCAGGCCCTCAGGCCAGGACTGGCGCATGGCTAGGGAGATTGTCACCTTCGAAAGGACCATGTGGGCGATAGATTCGTTTGCTCCATACAAAAGTCCAGCTCTGGTTGGCGTATTTCCGGCCATGCTACAGCAGGGACGGAGTTCGGTTGTTCCTCACCTGTTGCAGGTGTCTCGAGCATGCGTGGCCATGGGCTTCACACCTATAAGCTGGCGGCAGGCAAAGAGGTATTCATTCCTAAACTGGGCAGAGCTAGATATATTGGCCCGAAGGATTTTCGTCCGATTAATCTTTCATCTTTTAAGACATTGGAAAGGATAGTTGATAGGTTTCATGCAAATCAGTTTGCATACCAAATCGACTGATCTGGCCTTACAAAATCTAGTCGGCAGGCTGGAGAAGACTCTAGATCAGCGAGAAGTGGCACTCGTGGCCTTTTTGGACATTGAAGGTGCATTTAATTGCACCACAACTGACTCTATCAGACATGCCTTGGTTAGGCACGGGGTTGGATCAATCCTAATAGATTGGGTCCTATCTACTCTGGGCGGAGTTCTGTCACCCCTACTGTGTTGCATCGTGGTGATCGAACTCCTCGATAGGCTCAGCAGTGTGCGTGTCTACATGCAAGCCTATGCTGATCACTTAAGCATAGTAGTTAGGGGACGTTTCGGTAGAACAGTGTGTGAAATTACGCAGGGCGCTCTGCGCTCTGTGGAATCGTGGTGCAGGGAAATTGATCTTTCTGTTAATGCTAGAAAAACCGAACTGATCCTATTCACTAGGAGAAGAAGGCTTAACGGGCTGTTCATGTCGACCTTCTTTGGGACTAGATTAATTCTATCCCAATCAGTGAAATATCTGGGAATTATCCTGGATTGCAAACTGAACTGGAGAGAGCATGTTGAATACAGGGTTAGCAAGGCTCGCAATTCAATGTGGGCATGTAGACGTGTTGTCAGTGTAAGGTGGAAGCTTAAACCCAAAGTGGTATACTGGCTCTACACGACGATAGTTGGTCCATCTCTCTTGAACGGCTCCCTGGTCTGGTGGCCTTGCTTTAGAACTGAGATAACGAAGGCCAAACTCAATAAGATTCAGCGTTTGGCCTGTATTAGCATTACAAGCGCAGTACGTACAACGGTATTGAGTGCAGTGGAAGCTCTGTTGCATCTCCCACCGTTGGATCTGGGGATCTGCGGTGAAGCGAGAGTAGCCGCTCATCGACTGTGGAGTCAGGGCAGCTGGGCCTTCTTGAATCCTGTCAAGGGGCATACTGCCATCTTAGTCGAATTGCAAAGGGAGGGCCCCGCTCTTCTAAGTAGGGATAATCGTATTGATCCTAAATATCTGTCTGGAGTGAGGGGGCAGGTCTGGTACACGGACGGCTCGGTCACCGAAGGGGGCTCAGGTGCTGGAGTCTCTGGGCCTAGAACTAGACTACCTCTGCCTCTAAGTGGATACACCACTATTTTCCAGGCGGAAATCTTTGCGATTCTGGCTTGTGTATCTCGCATTCTGGAGGAGGGTGAGCCTAGGAGAAGAATAACAACCTCATCCGACAGCCAGGCTGCAATGATGGCACTAAGTGCGTGTAAGATTACTTCAAGTCTTGTATTGCAATGCAGGGAGGCTCTGGATTGCCTCGCAGTGAGGCATCCGGTATCATTAATATGGGTACCGGGGCACGCTGGAATAAGGGGCAATGAGACGGCGGACACTCTGGCGAAGACAGGATCAGCCAGCAAGCTCGTTGGTCCTGAGCCAGCTCTAGGAGTAACCGCGCACAAAGCTAGGAGGAAAATGGAGACGTGGGTTGCAAGACAACACTCTCAGAAATGGAGAAGTATCTCTAGACATCTCCGCCAGGCACGAGAGCTCATTGAAGGGCCCAGTGCTAAGGATGGACGTTTCTGCTTATTTCTTGATAGAGCCAACATAAGATTGCTGGTGGGACTGTTGTCTGGCCATAACACGTTAAGGTGCCAAATGCACGTGATGGGGGTGGCTGAGGATCCCTTGTGTGAGCGCTGCGAGATAGAGGAAGAGACCTCGGGGCACGTTTTGTGTCGTTGTGAAACTATGAGCTACTATAGGCAGACTATACTGGGGTCCATTACTTTGGACCCTCAGGACGTCAAGGAGCTTGCACTCAAGGCGATTCTCAACTTCGCTAAAAGGGCGAGGCTTGTGATCCAAGGCATGAGAGGTGCATAAGGGCCCGTTTAAGCAGCATATTCACTGGCTCCTTATGGTGGCCGGAATGCTTCTAATTTCACGATTCATTCATTCATTCAATCCCACTGTGTATAAAGTGGGTTGAGATACAAGAAACTGAAGGTTATACCTCAGTGCCATTTAAAAAAAAAACTAAAAATCAGGTTATTTACACTATCTGCTCCGAGTGATAAAGGGATATAGCCTACTTGACAAATCATGGAGGAGTAAGGTCAAAATAACTGACTCCCTTGGAGCAAAAAATAAAAACCAAGAGGACCTACATCACTTACTTGACTCTATCCAACTCAACCTTCTCTAGGCCCTTAGCGGCGATATTAGTGAGTTTAATGTTTAGATCTTTGCCTGCATCTACATTGACTACCGGTAGTTTGAGTGGGTTCAGTTTCGGTATGTTGTACTTCCTGTCACCTTTGACGATGTAAGGTAGCGCTCCTCGACCATTTTGCAAGGCGCACTCATCGAAGTCAGGCGAGTTCACTTTACAGGCCTTTATGTAGGACGCTGGAAAGAACAGAGAGATTAATAATAATCTTTATTTGTTCTGTAGATTATTTTTCATGACATAGAACACGTCTCTATCTTAAAACTAAGAAAAGCATTAAAGCATTAAAAATAGATAATTAGATTATTTATGAGCCCGTAGTGCTTTCCTAGATCATGGAGAGGTAGCCTTCTTGCGAAAGCTCCTATAGTTACCTATGTATCTAGAGCACTACGAGGACATTTACTTCCCGCGACGTGAAATTAGCACCCAAGCTTCAGAGCACCTTGGCTTCTCACACGCCCAGGGATATAAATGCTTATTATACTCTAGATATATACAAAATTATATCTACATCCGATTGAGACAAATAGCAGGATACCCTTTGAGCATAATTTTGAAAAATGGTGTCAAGTAGGTTGACTATGTAGTATGTACTTCCCATGCAATGCCGTTATCAGTACATAAAGGAATATGTTCAACACAAACTAGACCATTCGAGTAAAAAGTCAGTCAAACAGGTCCATTTTTCCTGTCTTACCGGTAATGCATCTGGAAACGTCGATTCGCTCCGATATCTAACTCGGCAGACATGACAGCGTAGAAATACGTGTGATTCCATGCCAGAACTATTATCACGGTCGGCGCATGCCGTCAGCAGCAGCCGCGGCCGATAGATATGCGGTCCGGTCCGCCTCCGAAGAATATTTTTTAGAGCTAATGTAGAGATAAATCTATGCTGTGTGGTATAAGTATAATGGGTGCGTACAATGACCAATGTTGGGAGCGTATGAATTTACCAGCAACAAAATATTCAGATGACCCTTTCCCACCCCTTATAACCCCTGGCCTCGTTTTTTGACGTATAAGATTTTTTTCAAAAGTGATCAGAATCATCTGAAATATCGAAAAATGCAGTTTTACTTTTTTCGTTTTAAGCCTTCTTCTCTGCTGCCACTGGACTGGTTTTCAAAAACTACAAAGCTGTTGCGTCATTGGCATAGCAGTAGCATTGTGTAAAAGTGTCAACGAAATCTGAGTGGTACTTCTCAAGTTATAGGTTATAACATTAGCGGACAGACCAACAGACAGACAGACAGAGAGACCGACGAAAATGAGTCGCCAGTAGGCGTGGGAATTAAAGAAATGACTTTTGTTTCGCTGGTAGTTGCGTCGTCGCAACAAATAATAATATAATTAAGGACAGTTCTGTGGCCGCCGTACTAAGTTCAACATGGATTACATACATAGCAGGCGCTAAAGTTATTTTACTGTTTGGAATCAGATTTACATTGATGTGTGGCAAGTTACCTATTGAGTCAACCTACTTGATGCCATGATTATACAAGCTCTCAAAAATAGTAGATCATGATGAAACATCGTTTGTGTCAATATTCGGTATGTATATCATGATCCTGATGATGTTCAAACAATGCTTGCGCCTTCTCGAGGCAACTATAACGGTTAAGCTTCTCAATGTCAAGATCAATGCAAATGTTGCTATAAGCATGATGTTAATGATGACTGTAATTCCATAAAGTGAAAAACTAATCGTGATGATCATCATCGATAATATGTGCATGGTATTGTAATTTTTTAGCTTTAACAAGATTCTAAATTATGCGGTCTCGGTGCTTTAATGATGGTATATGAGGAGCGCAATATTTTATTTTACAATCTCAGGTCAACTGACATTGCTTGCAAGTAGGAGTATGACTTGCTTGGGAATACTTACTTTCTTCGTTATTGACCACCTTTTACCAACACCCGTCTTAAAATCAAAGAACCCAACAAAGGTAACAGTGCTGTGAAAAACGATGATAAGAATCACAAAAATACAGTTCCAGTGTCGCATGCGAGATTCGAGAATATCCCACCCTCAGATCCCAAAATCGGCATTACCACACCAACTAACACCGGTGAATTTTTGCAAACTTGTGTCGCCATCGAAAACGAAATCGACGGGTGTGAGCGGTTTTCCAAAAAAAAAACTGAGCTGCCAGTAAATGCGTCTGTTTCGTTTTCGATTCGCCACCCTGTATATCCTTGACTTGCAGCATTGTTCTGCGACCTAGGTTGGTACGTCTAATTGGTGGCATTTTGAAGAATCACAATTTTAATATAAGTCGTGATTGCGGTGAACTAACTTGCTCCCTTGTTAATTATTTTTGGACAAATACTTCTCAAAAAACTCAATAAACAAACTGAAAACTGGTTAAAAGCTCAAATCGAATGGACTGTTCACTACTAATTAAATAAAAAAATATTTTACATCGATAAACACTATTAAATGATAATATAAATTTGCGGCGTGCGAGTTGTCAAGTTCAAAATTATATAGTAGTGAAAGTAAGTTAAGCAAAAGAAACATATTTTCATCTGTCATTTTTATTCGTAGAGTTAACTGATAAAGATAACAATTAAGCAACACTGTAGTTTCGTTTGAAGGGGCCATCACAACGCACGGATGGTAAAGAAATAAAGGTCCAAAAACGCAAGCATCGTATTTTTTTAAGCAATTTTCTCTCACATAGCTAACTGTCAATAGCTGTTGGAATAAAGATGGCGGAGAGGAGTGCCTGTCCCTTTTGGTACTTGAGATATTTCCTCTGCTGTGCGTGCGCCATGCACAAGCGAACTGTTAAACGCGCGCAGCTCAAATAATCATTGAGGTTTTAATGATTTCCTGAATTTCTGCGCAATTCTCTTGATTTTTATTTTTGTAAGAACCTTCTAAACAGTATTAGGAAACTTTCAAAGAAAATATGAATGAAATCGGTAAGGTTGTTCTCAAGTTATGGCGTGATCACGGGAAATGGAGACTTATATAAAGAAGATGAAGCCTCTTCAGCACTGCGACTCATCTTTATCAGAAGAAACATCTGTGTGAAGATAGGAATCCCACCAGCACTGAGGCATACAGGAATGGGACGGATTGGATTATTACGAATTAGTACGAATGTCTTACAGGGGTCAAAATAATCAAGAGATGTGAAAAGGTTTAGGGAGCGAATCTGATTCGGACTCACAGACAGAAAAGGAACATATCAGTCATAGGTTAAGAAATATACATATTGAGGCCTAGTTTATTAGATAATAGAATCAATATGGGCACAAACCAATCAAACTAGTCCAATATGACACTACGCGTATCTTAACATGATACCCGAATTTCATGGACAACAAGAACTGTTACCAAGATTTTTATTGATATTTGCGAAAAGTCAGTAAATAAATTTTCAGAATGAATATCTGATGAGTAGCATATTAGCAAAAATCAAAGGTAATTTAGCTTTGAATATAAGCAGTAGCATTATAAGTAATTGGGCAGATTTGAAAAATACACTTTTGAATACTTATCAATACAAACGTGATGTTTTCACATTAAATATAGAACTTTGAGAATTGAAAGAAAGCAATGAATCTCCCTTTGAATTTTACAACAAGGTACAGAGTTTACTAAACTTACAAGTATCTGTCATGACCACACATACATGTATTGTTAAAGCTGAAGCACAAATAATTTGTAATTTTTGTAAAAGCGTAGCATTAAGGGTATTTTTGAAAGGATTAAAGGAGCCTCTTGGTTCACTTATAAGGACAAAGAACCCTCAAGACTTGAATGAAGCTCTAAACATACTAAAAAATTGATTTCCAAATAAACAAAAGGTAGATAAGAATAAGAACAACAGGTATAATGCGCAACAACTAGTTCGCCACACTACAAACAATAATTTCAGTACTTACAGAAATCAGTACCAAAACATTCCAGAACGACCATTTTCACAAACAAAATTTGGTCAAGCTAATCAGGTTCGACCGAATAATTTTAATCAAATTAAACCAAATTATTCCAACACTAACGTCTTTAGGATCAATCAACAGAATTTACCCAGATCTATTCCAATGAGTACGTGCACATGTCATACGTATCAGCAACATCAAAATTTCCAAAACAGAAATTTGAAAAGACCAAGTGTAATACCAGAGCAACCATTTAATTCACAAGATCAACCATTGGTGGAATTTCCAAACGATGAAAATTATTATGAAAATCAATATCCTCAGGAAAATAATTCCGAAGATTTTTTAGGCGAGGAAGCCTCGGAACCAATGACTCCAGCGACCAACCGACTTCAACTGAAATAATGAGTCTAATTGATAATTTTAGCAAGTTACCATACATAACATTTCCAGAGTATAATCTCAAAGTACTTATCGACACGGGACGTACGAAATCTTTCATACATCCTGAAATTGCAAAAAATTATCCCCAAGATATATAAGGAAGGATTTATTTCAAATCACTTCAGCACATGGTTCATCTGTCGAAAAACATAGAATGAAGGTACCTTGCCCAAAAATTTTAAAAATCCCAATATTCGTATGAAATTTCACTTATTCAGATTCCACGATGATTTTGAATGCCTATCAGGACTAGATAATCTAAAAGATGTATTGTACGCCAACATTGATTTAAGTAATGATATGTTGATTACACCCACAGCACACATACCCTTACAGTATCACCAAGTCACTAAAAATACAACTAACGTCATTACTGTTCCACCTGGAACAGAGCAGATAATCAAGATTAACGTAAAAACTGTAAAAAACGGCAATGCTATTATTCCATACAGAAAACTGTCAGGTTCAGAAATCCCAGAATGTCACGTTGTAGTAAAAAAATATGAAACAATTTGCACAATTTTGAATTAATTCGAAGAATTCATCTCTCTCGACATATCTCAACCAATTGATGCAGAACATTTTGAAGACTACGAATTTTCAAACAATTCTGATCCACCAAATATTAATTCTTTGAACTTTCAAAAATATAAATTCGATATTTAGAAAATTAGGACAGCGCACATGAACTCCTGAAGAAAAAGAAGCAATTACTAAGTTGATAAGTGCATATTCAGACATCTTCCATATAGATGGAAATTATTTGACTTTTACTAGCAAAATAAAGCATCACATACGTACGAGCGATGAAATACTTATTTACACTAAATGT